TTTTACTGTATATATTAGTAAATATATAAAAATATATTTAAATATGAAATAGTCAATTATCTAAAAATACGTAGGTTCATGATAATGTAAACTATTCTATTATTAATACATTTTTTTTGCAGACATAAGGGTAAGATATGCACTAGAACAAAGATAAGCACTTATTTTCTCCTCCCCGTGGCACGCACATTTATTTGTTCATTTGCAAACAAATACGACTATTTCAAAATGAACTTTTAGTTTAGTAACAATAAAATAAACAATAGCCTATAGATCTACTATTACTTTCAACGCATTGGTAATATAATTGACTAAATGCACTACTACTTAAAACAACTAATTTCAACTTTTTGATAGTTATTTGTTAACAATTGTTTTAGTTTTTATTAAAATTTAAATAGATGCTTATGAATATTCAATAATAGTCAATAAAGTTATTAAATTATTAATAGTGATGAAAAAAATGAATTTAAAGCTTTAAACCGTGTCAGATCTAGGAAAAATAGTGAAATTTATGCTTACATTGAATTAAGTGTTCAGACAAGATAAAAGTGACCAATAAAAGCAAAAAGCAAACTTTCAAATTTGCCATCGCCAAACTTTTCTCCGAAAAAAAAATTACTTTGCCACTCCAAGAGCGGATAAACGGGCCTTTTATAAGGAAAGTTCATCTTAGGCCTATAATCGAATTAATTTACATACAAAATAAGTGAGAAAAACGTCTAAAATAGAGGGTCTTGTTCGACTAAATTGACCTCTTTGATTTGTGCTTTTCCGTTGTCGAATTTGTCATGGAAAGTGACGCCCACGCTTCCGGTTTAAGATTAGCTCTTGTTGCGAGGAGTATGCGTCATAGGCAACTCTGTAAATGTATTACTAGTTGATTTCTTATTAAATCGACTTAAAATATTGCGCGTTTGAGCAATCTATAAGAAAATAATGATAATAGCAAAATACATTAAATAAAGAAACTATAAAAAACAATGACGTCGGAAAAATGTTAATTCAAGAGTGACATAATAATTTAGAACTGTGTAATTTGTTTTTTTTATTAAAATAAGTAAAATACTCTATTTTTCCTTAATGACAGTTAAGAAAATATAAATTAATGTAGATTAATGAGCGAATAGATAATCTAATAAAATTCTTAATGTCTTAAATGGTTTGTCATCGATGCTTAAATGGGCTATTTAACCTATAAACGTTAAGTGCATGAGAAGATAGTATTAACATAACTTTCTCTTGTTAGTATGCAGAGTTATACCTATAATTGATAGTTTTATAAGGTACACAAGGGAATCGAAGATGGCATATAATTATATGCTTAAGTATGCAACGAGATGGTTTTTTTCCACTATAAATAAACTAAAGATAGTCGAGACGGGAGGAGAAATGTAGATAAAGCAGTCCCGAACTTTAAAATTGGAAGAAAGGATAAGAGACAGGACGAAGGAGAGAAAGAAAGAGAGAGAACAGATAAAACTGCAAGTGAATCTCGATAAGGCATGGCATATTTACGATAAATTATATCTGTAAATGATAGATATTTACTCCTATATCTATATAAAAATATATACATCACACCTAATGTATTTATGTAACAGTACTTTATTGTGCAATTCGAGAAGATTCTTATAATATCGGCCTTATTACTCGACAGTTATTAATCGCAAGATCTCTTTTAAAAAGATTAGTCCAAAAATAGTTTTTTTTTTCTAGAAGTCATTTCACTATAAAATTCTTTCCTGGTATTTCGATTAATATTCATCTCTTGAATAGACTACTTTCTTTGTCCAATTATACATCTATTATTAGTTCAAAATGAAAAAGACTTTAGAACTGTTTCTAAAACTTTTATGTCTATAAACAGAATTGTAAAGTATAGTATTTATGATGATAACAAGTTATAAATATATACAAACAAAAGAATATATATGTATATATACATAAATAATATATATATATACTATATATATATAAACATATGTACTAATAGCGTATACTCTGCTCAGTCTATACTTTTTAAACTATTATATCTGAAAGTTATTCTAAAAATAAAAGTATAAAAAGAAGTAAATGAGCTGATTGAGATGAGAATAAAACCCCCTATCTTGTCGAATTTCGGATGCATAATAGACTATTTTAACTTTGCCTTTTCTACTTGACACGCAAAATGTAAATACATTTTTTTTATAAGATAAAGAATGGGTGACAGAAAGAAAGGGGAGATTTAGGTGGGAGGAGGAGAATGGAATAAAAATAGAATGAGAGTGTTTTAAAGTGGATTTAAAAGTCAGAAAAAGCTAACAAGTCAATCTAGATATTGAAACAAATGTACAATATATTAGATATGCAGGATATATATTCTATTATTTATATAGCTATATATTAATATGTTGCTTATATACCAAAATAGATATCGTCAATATGTCTGTAAGGTAAAATAAAATTATATTTATGTACATATATTGACACATGCATGTTAATTAATGACTATGCATATTACTGATTAAATATATTTATTATGATTTATGATATCATTCAATGGGAAATTTATTATTATACTTTTATAATATTATTTAAAAAAAACAGGATATTGGCTATTCTTGATTTATTTATAATATAAGAAATCAACGCTTTAATTCCTCCCAACTACAGCTAGCCAACAGATTGGAATGCCGCTTTCTGTATAAATAAAAGAAAAAAGAAAGCAATAAATTGGCATTGAATGGTAAGCATTCCAATACGTTTATCTATTTGATTAGTTCGGCTACAAATCGAACATTTCTTCCTCCGATCCTTTTCGAGACGTGTGTTTCTGATTGTCCATACGCAATTCTTGTTTCTTTTCTACAAAGAACTGTGCATGGACATCAGTTGTATGTGTCATAATCTGTCTATTCAAGGGGTCAGTATAAGAAAAACTTAAATAAGAGAAAAACAAAGATTTAAAGCATAGCCTAGAAATTCAATCTGTAAACCTATTTAAATGGTCTTACTAAGTTTTCACTGATCGAAATACCTTTGAAAAAGAGACAGCTAAACTTTTGTATATATAGTAAAGTGAGCAGAAACCCGGATAGAGAAAACGGTGAGCTTTTAATTTCTTTTTAACTATAAAACCTTTCTTCCTATTTTCTCTAATTTAGACTATCTTCTCTACATTAAGTTTTCCAATTTGATCTAAAAACTATTCATTCGTTGGGTTTTCTTTTCAAATATACAAGAAAAGTTCTAGACGCGAGAATAAAAAGAAAGAGATAATTATATAGATAGATAGAGGACAGAAGTGGCTTGAGAACTCTAGATAGATTTGGTCTATCTTTTTCTCTACTGTATATATATATATATATATATATATTTATATTAATTGTATATATACGTACTAAATATATCTAAATCAATTTTTCCCTAAAAAAAGAATGACTAACCAAAGTACTTTTTGTTGACTTGGACGTATTGGACTTAATTTTTGTATTTTTCATTTTATATAGTTTTGTTATCAGTAATCGTAATGATAATATTGTACTTGTGCCTAAACAGAATAGTATAAATATACAGTATATATATATATATATATATATATATACATATACATTTAAACTTTAATGAAAGTGTACGGACTAATAAATTTAACATAACTGTTTCAGACTCAATCAAGTGTAAAAAAGAGCTGAATTGCCTAAAAAAAAACATTAAATAAACACAAGACAAGAGTTTATAGGAAATTTCTATAAATAAAATTTATTCCAGCATTCTATTGACTATTATCTATTAATTTCTGGAAATTACAGTAGTTGTAGTTGTAGTAATAGTGATAATGACCCCTACAATAGTATTAGAACAATATGTATAGTAACTTTATCTTTTAGGAAGAGAAATGTCGTCACTATATTTTTTCTTTGTTTCTAATCAGGCAACAACAAGAATACAGTTGGTAATATAATAATTTAATATAATAAACTAACAAAATATTTATACTGAGTTGTTTAGATATTCGTTCGATATAGAGACAGTAAAGCTATAAAAAATTATACTACTACTGGTAATAAAATATTTAAAAAGCAACATAGATTTCCTGTTACATAAGCAACTTCCGGATTATAAAAGAAAAGAGAGAGAGAGAGAGAGAGAGAAACTTTATAAAGAAACAATTCAAAGTAAAAATATACATATATAAATTTATATGTATATATATATAGATAGATTCAATATTATAAAATATAACAAAGGGAATTTTTAGAAATAATTAACAAAGGAAAAGTATTTATACATTGACCTTTAAGTGACTAAAAGAAAAACGTGATAATTCGTGCCTTTAACCAAGGGGTAAAAAGTATTTTTACTGTTTGTACCGAAAAGAAAATGGACAGCATGTTTGAACACGCTTCATTCAAAGGAAATTGTAATCTTTTGTTTAAAACATTCGCATGCTCTTTCAAGATGAATCTTGTTTTGCTGCAAAAGAAAGCGAAAGCTTCGAAGAAAGAATTTGTTAGAAGAATTCGTATAAAGTATTTAGAATAAGTGGTAGTACTTAGAAGAACTTAGTGGCCCACGTGTATTTAACTTGAATTGTGTAAATACATCTAAATAACAGAAGCAATTAGTCACTTACATTGAGTTCTCTTTATTTAATACAGAATTATATTGAAATTTTTAGAAAATAATATTTAAATGAATTCAACTGGTATTTGAATTATTATTGATTATTCATTCCACAATATCCGAGTATTAGATATCTTGAGTATGAATTATTAATAAAAAAAGAACAATTTGCAATAATATAGGCTAAATCTATTATGATATTTATTTTGAATAAATATAACGAGTTCTTTATAGTATTAAAATCTCCTGTGATAATTCAAGAGAAGATCAATCAATAACGATTAGCAAAATAATATATTGAGTAGCAGCTTAAACTTTAAAAAATCATATTCAACATTAATCCCTATTGCCCACATAACGCTAAAAGGTCTATTTCTATGGGGGAGAAAGGTGCATTCGGAATTCGGATATGGACTTGAAAAGTAGAAATTACAAAACTGTTGAAAATTTAAGAAAAAGTAATTTAAGAGAACAAAGAAAGTTGGAAGCTGAAATTGGTCCTGGCGCTAGACATGGACTGGAAGCTCATCACAAATCCGAAATATCTGCTTTATCTCAAGAACAAAGGAAAATACAAGCCGAACTGGCTCAATTAAGGCGAAAAACTTTTAATACAGCAGGAGGATTACCACCAAGGAAAAGTGGTTTCCCTGAAAATTACGGAAAGAGTGTTTTAGATAATTACATATCGCCAAGAGAAAGAAGAGAAGGAATAAAATCAAAGAGTAAAAGTGAAACTAATAAAGGCTCAGCTGATCATTTTACACCTAAGGTTAAGCATCAAAGTTACGAAAATGCAATTTATATCTAGACATACGTATTTTTATAGATAATTGTACAGAATTTACAGCTATTTTTTACATCTTTAGTATTATTATTAATCATATTTAACCTTGCAAATAGTTTATGTAAATATTAGAGGTCATCTTAAAACCTACATATAGACCCAGAAGGTGAAACGTTATATACTTAATAGAAATTAAACAATTAGACTATGAAATACAACTGGTAATTTCTAGGCAAATGTTTGCACAACTACCTAAATCATTTAGCTGCATTCAATTGAACTATAAATTCTTCAAAAATATCTTGGAGTGTGTATACTGCAATTATATTATAGCATATAAACAGTATATATTTATATATAGTGAACAGAAATTACACATGAATCATATATCTTCTGCAATAGCAGTAAGCAAAGTGGCTAGATATACTTTTGTAAACGTCTAAATACAATCTCTTTGATCTAAAAAAATCATTCAAATAGACATTTAAGCACATAAATATCCTTCTCCAGGTACGTTGGTTATTAATACTTTTCCGTGTAACTTGTTTTTGAATCAAGGGCACATTTATTAAAAATTTATTCTATCATTAGATATCATTAATGGGAAAGTTTTAGCTTTATCTTATTTTCTAAGTTCTTATTCTTTCTTCGGTGGTAATCATATAATAACCAATAATAAACATGTATGAATAGGTAAAAGTTCTTTTAAAACGTAAATGTCATAACAGATTGATTGTCAATGCGTTTTTCTTCAGAGCAAAATGAAATTTTCTTACTGTTTTTTTATTCTTGGATTAACGATTATAGGATTTAGTTTCTGTGGTATTTTTTTATAAAGAATAGGAACAAAAAACCTCTGACATTTATTTTACTTTAATAATATTTTCTAAATTATTTATAGACTTTTGAAAGTTACATTCGAAACGAAGAAGAAAAAGTTGAAGCTGTACAAGCACCAATTGATGAAAAAGTTGATGTTGTCGAAACTAATCCATTGGAAAATTTAGGAAATGATGTTTTCAATATGGATGGAAGTATTAGGACAATGTACAAAGTACCAGATTTTACAGATAGATATGAACAAGCTAAAAAAGCTCGTTATATAAGACACTCAGAAAAGAATAAACCAGACTTTGAAAAAGAATTAAGTGCCAGAGAAGTCTTTTCTGATTTGAAAAAGAAAAAATAGCTATTTTTAATTGTTTATATGATTTTTACATTGAATATCGAAATTTGGTTGTTATCAAACTTTAACTGTCATTTTATATACTGTATATATATATGTCTTTCGTTTTTATTATATGTATATATTTACTAGATATATATTATCCATATAAATATATTTACTTGTATATTTTAAATGAAAGTCTTAATAAAATATTATATTTGCTATAATTCTGAATGAATGTCCACTAGCTTACTTTCAATAAGTTTTTTAACGTTATTACCAGCATTCTCAACTCCATTTGGTTTAGCTTGTTTAGTTGCTATAGTTTGATTATTCTTTAAAGAGTCACTATTTATCAAACTCTTATTGTCATCTGTTGAATAAAGATTAGTTGAAAATGATAAACACTTTGTTACGTAAACATTAACAACTACTTACTTATGGCCTGAATTTGGCAAATAACGTTATGAATTTTTTCAAATTCCTTACTCGTTCCATAATACATTGATGATATTCTCCTGCAAATAAAAGAAATATAGTTGATTTTGATGTTAACCGCTATTATTGGGGAAAAATACTCTGATGAATTTGGTAGGTAATCTTTCGCTTCTTTACCACTTGTCTTTTCCATATCTTTAACGTTTCCATCAGCCGGAATAAATTCATCTCCGTTGCTCCAGACATTTGTACCATCACTTTCTTTTTTCAAATCAATGAAGAATAGATAAGATGGAATATCATTGGAGATCCAACTGGAGAGAAGATGTTTCTTTGCTACAGCATCATTCATTACCTGAGTTCCTCCTTCTTGGTCTAAGTGGAATGATGCTAACTTTCCATTAATTGTTTGACAAACATCAGCTGCTCCTTTAGGAAATCTTTGTTCTGGTAAAAGTGATTTATAAGCGTAACAATTGCCTTTCAGGGTCTCTACTAAATTCCACTCAGGTGGGAGATTTCGAGGACAAGCTTGCCTAGAAACTAGTCAATTCAGAACAAAAGTAAATGCTTTGAAACAAAAAGGCTTTATTTTGAAAAATCTTACATGTTTCTACGGAACAAATAAGGATACTTATTAAGGAAATTCTCCAAACTAGAGTTTCTGGCATACTTATTCATATAGTAGCCCGAAAGCCTAAAAATATAACTTTATTTAATATAAAAATCAATATTTCTTTTGAAAAAAAAATCAATCTTGCAATACGGAATACTGTAGTGACATCTTGTGTTTATATTTATATACTTATATACTACATCTAACAAATATAGATAAATTTTTAAAACATTGTATCTACTTAAATTCCAATTTGGACGTTGCATCCCTAAGGTATTTGGTTTCAAAAATAAGTTTCAGACCCTTGATTTCCTGCCGTTTCTCACACACTTTTATTACGTTATCTGCTACATATCTCATGTGATTATCAGTATAGACTCTTCTTGGAATGCACAATCTTAAAAATTCGCAGGGGCTGATTCCATCTTCACCGTTGGGGCCTCTACCATAACTAAAAGAACCCATTTCACTGCCACGAATTCCACTTTCCAAGTATAAATGTATGCATAGAGCCAAAGCTGGAAATTCACAAGGTGGAATATGGGGGAGGATCTTCTTCGCATCCAAATAAATGGCGTGACCGCCAATAGGTTTTTGTATAGGTATTCCTGCAGCTATTAGTTGCTTACCTAAATTTTCAACTTGTTTAATGCGTTGCTGGAGAAATTCATATCGAGTTGACTCTTCCAAACCAATTGCAAATGCTTCCATATCTCTTCCAGCAAGACCTCCGTATTGGGGAAAACCTTCTATAGGTATCATGGCATATTTTGCACTTTCGTACAAATCCACTTTATCTTTAACAACAATAAGACCACCTATATTTACTGCAGCATCTTTCTTTCCACTCATAAGGACAACATCTCCAAACGAGAACATTTCAAGAATAATTTCTAAAGATAAAAGTAATAAAACTTTTATGATAATTTAATAAAAAAAAAACTCTGCTTTTACGTTTCAAGTTTTTTTCTTTAAAAGAATCCTCTCTTTCATGAATGTAATAGGCATTTTCAGCAAAACGAGCAGCGTCAAATACTAATAGAATTCCATGTTCTTTTGCTATTTTAGATACTTCTTTTATATTTTGCATACTAACTGGTAAACCTCCAATATTATTATTAGTAATAGTTATCATTATGAAAGCTACATTCTGCGATCCGTTTTCTTTTAAGTATGTCAATAATTGATCAGTATCCAAGTTTCCTTTAAAATCTTTTTCAACTGATATATTTAGAGAATCCGAACTTATAAAATCTAAGGATATGCCCTGGTTGATTTGAATATGTGCCTTCGATGTAGTAAAGTTTGTATTTCCTATGACAACTTGCCCTTTTTTAATTAACAAAGGAAACACAACATTTTCGGCAGCACGACCTTGGTGAACTGGGAGAACGTGTTTATAACCTTAAACGATAAATAAACAGTTATTGTCTTTACATTAAAGTGGAAATAGCAAATTAATAATAGATATTATACAGTATTAACTCAATGTAGAGTCTTAGCTTTTTTTACAATACTGTTTTGAAGTAATGAATCGTGAGCCAGTCTATGGATTTACAATACAATTGTCTAACCTGTTAATGATTGTACAACTTCTTCTAAACGGAAGAAACTTCGACTTCCAGTGTAGGATTCATCTCCCATCATTAAACCCGACCATTGTCTATCAGTCATGGATGAATTTCCAGAGTCGGTTAAGAGGTCGATAAAAATATCCGAGGAAGCCATGTTTAAGGTATTAAAATAAGCTTTTTGTAGAACTTTTTCTCTTTCTTCTCTTGTAATTAGCCTAATAGGTTCTGTGGCTTTAATCTTGAATGGTTCTGGTTCGTATTTGGCCATTTTTTGTTGCTAATTTTAAGGATATCAATTTAACTGATTTAGCTACACATACACGAATGTAGTCACACGAAATGTCAACGATGAATGAATCTATAAGAGTCGTTGATATTACTGTCAAGCTGCTTTTTTGTTCAATGAAGCGCTTGTTTAAAGATTATATAACCAAACAAAAGATAGCTTTTTTTATCTTAAATAGTGATTTCATATGATTATTTTTTATTTAATAGTTTAAAGGGACTTGAAAAATTCTCATTCAAAAGAAAACAATGACAAAGCAAGATAAAGTTACACTTCTTACCATTGTAGAAGATAAAAATTGACCTTAGTTTTACAAGTATTTATCGCTTGCAATACTTATAAAAGCCTTGTGTGATACTTTTACAGGCTAAAATAAGATAGACTCTAAATAGTATTACAGTTAAATATCATGTTTGGTAGCGTTGGATATTGTTACACCGAATTGGTTAATAAACATGTAAATAAGCGTGTTTCTTATCACTTGGAATCTCCGATAAGAGTCACTCATTGCAAGAGTTACTTAGAAGAAAGAGGAATATTGCAAAAGTGCATATATATCCCATATAGGTTTGCTTTGGTATGATGGTTTGTATAAATATTAATTGCCTCTGATATTTGTTGTAGTCCAATATCTGAAGCTTTACTTCTAAAGGTTCATGACCAAAGTTATTTAGATATATTAAAAAGTTTCACTGATGATCAAAAGAGTTTTGTCTTTGAAAATGAAAGTACGGTGGATTATAGATATACTTACGTTTGTAAGGACACATATGATGCTAGCTTGACTGCTGCGTCCTGTTTAGTTACTCTTTCGGATCAAGTTTTAGCTGGAAAGGTAAAAATTTAAGAAAATAGAAACTAACAGAGGACTTAATTTATATAAACTTTTGATTTATTTTTGCTTAGGTCAAACATGGTATTGCTTTATGTCGACCACCGAATCACCATGCAGAAAAGAATTTAGCTACTGGGTTCTGTTTTTTAAATGGTATAGCTATGATGGCTGAGAATGCTCTTGCTAAAGGTAGACAGAGAATTTTAATTTTAGACTGGGACATTCATCATGGAAATGGGATACAAAAACACTTTTATAGGAGAAATGACGTTTTATATATATCTTTTCATAGATATGATCATGGGGAATATTATCCAGGCTTAAAAATTGGCAATTTTGATGCAATAGGAGAAGGCAGAGGTAAAAACATATTGAATATAGATAAATTGTTATCTATGCTTATCTTTTATGCTACTATTAAATAAAATTTTTCTTTAAATATTTCAGGGAAACATTTCAATATCAACATTGCTTGGAATGATGAAAAGATGACCAACGGAGATTATAAATACGGTTTTGACCAGATAGTCGAACCTGTGATGAATCAATATCAACCAGATTTAGTTATTATTGCTTCAGGTTTTGATGCTATGGAAAATGACCCTTTAGGAGAGTATCATCTTACACCATCAATTTACAGCTACATGATTAATAAAATAAAAGATATAGGGAAAACTAATATACTAATATCTCTGGAGGGCGGTTATTCAAAGGATAACATAGCTGCAGGAATGGCAGCCTGTATAGAAAGCCTTCAGGATAATGTTCTTCCAGATACCAACTGGAATGAACCTAATGCAAAATGCCTACAAACTATTAATCAAGTAAAAAGAGCTCATAATGAATATTGGAATTTTTAAGAAGTCTATTATTTTCACATTTACTTCTCGATAAGCCTTTCGTTCATAGGAAAAAGCTATATAGTAGATTAGTAAAATATACTTTGTTTCCCACATAATCGTCATCCAACAACATCTGTTGATTTATTAAATCATATTAAAAGAATGATGGAAAAAGAAATGGTAAGGTAAAACAAGAATTAACTAACGCTTACCTGTTTTCTGATTATAATAGTATTTAAATTAGAATATTAACAAACTAATTAAAAAACTTTATAAAGTGAGAATAATAAAAGAAATTTTCTCCCTTTTATTTTGTTGTATAGTCATTTTGAGGAGGATTTTTTGTATGATGTAGATTAGTGAATAGATATGTTTTTGTCATTTTTCTGTTATTTCTTTATCACTCTTCTCTCTCTCCCTTTCTCTGGTTGTTTTATTCTTTTTTTTAGTAATTATTATTAAATATATCGTTTTTTGAATAATATCTGCCTCATAGTAGGGTGTTCATGGTTTAAATTTAGCAAATGTAAACCGAAACATCGTTTAATTGATTTCCTTTCTAGTTTTATTGCTGTTTTTATAATAAATGTCCACATAGGAATAACTAATTCACTTTTCTTATCCATGACATAACTCACTCCTTCACTTTTTCTACCATTAGTTCCATGCAAAAAATCCGCTCATTTGTTTATATTATAGGCTGCTGTAGTCTTGATACTTTTAATGAAACATTGAATTTTCATATACTCAACCTTATTTTTTATTTAAGAAGAGCTAATAGAAAAGAAAAGGAGTTAAACAGAGATGCCAAACTATCATCTAAAAGTTAAGTGTCTATGCTTATTACTAATACTTGGATTTGTAGGTTTTCATTGGAAATACAAATCAAATTCTCAGTAAAAGATGTTATATAAACTTTACGTCAGTAGTAGAATTACGTAAACCTTAAGTTACAAATCTTTGTATAAAATGTTCATTTTTTTTGGTCTCTTATTAATAATTTGTAACACGTTTCACTTTATCATTATTGTAAACTATGCCAATAATTTCATATTAGTTCAATAAACTATGTTGTCTTCATATGAATAATGCAGGTAAATAAATATTGGAAGAAACATTAATTATATCAAGAAAAGGAAAGTAAGATAGAAAATATTCCTTCATATTTATTTTTGGTAATATTTTAAGTTTGCTTTGCTGCTAATCGAAAGGTAACATTAATATAAGTGTAAGAATTTTCCACTTATCTGTAGTTATGAAAAATAGAGAAACTCTATATGTAATAACCAATCTTAGATACGTAGAGATGTAGAAAGCTAAAGCTTTATTGACAACAGTTAATATAAACTTCAATTATATAGATAGGGAACACGTTTTAACTGTTAAGTAACTTAGTTCTACAGGGTAGTTCATTGTTTAATACGTAATGTTTTTACCATAAAATTTAATTATTCCAGGACTTTCCGTCTATCTTAGTCCATAAGCACTGAATAACAGATGTAACGTGCACCTTGTCTATTAAAGAGACTCTAATTGGCTATATGTCTATTAGTAAAATGGATAGAGTTACTTTGGAACAATTTAAAGATAATATAATTATTCTGCAGATAATAATCGCTATCTTAGTGACTTGGTATATCTTCTTATTTCTTCAGATGAATTATATTTCTTAATGAGTTACACTCAACTGGAAGCTTGATAAAGTCTATAAGAGGATAAACCTAGTCTAATAGTGACGCCACTAGTATCAGCCATAAGAGAAAGATCTTAAATGCAGTTGACAGGTTGTCTCAAATTCATCAGCTACAAACTTTCTAACTTATCTTTTTATTGAAAATGTCTACAAGTGATATTGCTCCATATATCTATTTTTATCCACCTCTCTTTTTGATAACTATATTTGGATTAGTGGGAAATTTACTTATAATTTTAGTGATAACTAAATATGAACATTTACAAACTGCAGAAAATATTGTCTATGGAAGTTTGGCTGCATCAGATATTATTACTCTATTATCTTATCCGATTTATTCTCTTGCTCAAATTCAAAACAAGCATATTCAAGCTGCCCTAGGTGATTGGAGAGTTTGCCTATCAATGATGTTATTAATGGGTATTGGATTACAAACAAATGGTGTTAATTTAACTATTATAACGATTATCAGGTAATTTCACTATCTCTAATTTTATACCATAAAGAATTTATTAAAATTTGTACTCTATTACTAGTCAATAATAGATAACATTTATATAATAGATTACAAGATATTTACAATAAAACAATATCTCTCTTTTTAGATATATAGCAATATCTCATCCATTGCGTTTTTCAACTATTGTTACTAACAGTAAAATTATAAAATTATTGGCAGTCATTTGGATATTTATTTGCACATTATCGATATGCTTATACGTTCAAGTTAAACCAAATGGTAAAGAGATTATTGTTTTCTTTTTAAATTCTTAATGATTTAATAAATGTTGATAATTTCTTTGCATCTTTCTTTTATAGACTACCAAAGTTGCTTATACTCCGATAATTATAACGTAATAAATGGTTTAGTTCTCTATTTATTACAAGTTGTCATTCCATTGATTACAATGATCTCCTTGTACAGTAAAGTATTGATAATAGCTAGAAAACAGATTCGTGCTGTTGCAACACTGCAGACAAAATCCGGTAGTCTCTGGATAAAACAATTGAAGTTAGTTAAAGTAACAGGTCTATTAATTGGATATTTTTGTATAGCAACTGTACCTTTGGCTACTACATTAATTATTGCTTCAATAAAACATAATTTGCAGATAAATCCCCATGTTTGGTAAGCAAATAGTTTTACTATTAACAATAATATTCTATTATTCAAATCATTCCTTAGGTTTGTGACACGACTCTTGATAATATCTAACTCTGGTGTAAATATAATTATATATACTGGCCGTTTACCTGAGTTCCGCATTGCTTTCAAGCGTCTTCTTTCGAATATCTGCGCTAAAACCTAAATTTTATCATTTAAAGTAATACTCTATATTAAACAAATATTTAAAGATTTATAATGTTTATATATATATATATATACTGTATATATGTATATAATATATATATATTAATATAAATGTTTATACGTGCATGTTTGTGTACTTTAGCATCTACTTATACAATTTAATGTTATGATGAAATACCTAAGTAATAAGTTGTTTTGCATTATACGAAACTACTTTAAACAATTGATTACCAATAGATATTATTTATTACAGCATTTTCTCTATCGAGAACATTGTCTAGTACTTAACTATTATAATATTTCAATAACCGATTAAGGAAATTTCATAGTCTTTTTATTTAATCTATAAACTTCACTCTCTAAATCTCCTTGTTTGTTTCTGTTTAAAATGAATATCTACTACTATTATTCTCATTTGCTGTAAATATAGTAATTTAAGTTATATCAAGAGCAATCAACACAATAGCAATGAGGTAAAAATCAAGTAATTAGTTCATTCTTGTTTAACGTTCTGTCGCCTAGGTTGAAAGAGAAGATGCTAATTGATGTTAATATATGTCATAGACAAATCAAAATTTAGTTATATAAATTCAACTGTATTATATATAAACAAAATGTAATTTTATAAAAAAAATAACTAAAGATTTTCCCATTGAATATAAAACACCTGAGAGAAAAATCCGATAGTTTCATATTCCAGGAATTAATTATTATTATAAATTCCATTAATATAATTACTCTTTTTTTTTAATTAGCAGAATTAATATCTTTCTATGTAAGGTGACATAAAAATTTCCAATATGTTCATAATTACTTATAAAAAGTTCTATTTCATCTATTTTAAACTTGTTTACATATATTGGCATAAATTCAGTGATATTATTAATAAATTCTAATAGTTTTACAAGGGAAACAGAAAGCGTTTTCATTAGTTCTACAATAGATGGCACCTCGGATGTTAAATCTAAAAAAGCGACATCTTGTTTATTAACATATTTGTAATATTTATTATATATTAAGAAAAAGGAATAAAATATAAAAACGTAGGACTAATACAACTTTTCAGAAATCATCTTTCCAGAGGTCGACACTATAAATCATCATTTCTAAATGAAGACGACAGAAGATGTGCATGATGTCGCAGGTTCATGCCTAACCATTGTCAAGTTCTAAGTCTAAATCAACAGTTACTTTATTCTATAATTCAAGCAAGCTGTAATGTAAAAGTACCTACGTTTCCAGTCGCCCCGGAACATTGAAACCTACTAAGCTATCGAAGATCTTTGCGAGTTTAACATCCTCAATCTATATATCACTTCAGTTTAGGCAATGTTCACATTCTTATAATGGTGATTGAATAAATGGTATAATATCCCAATTTTGTTCAAAAACGTCAAACTTTCTAATCAATATCATAATAGATAAGTTCTGTCCTGAGCTAAAGAAAAATGTTTGTAGTGTTCTATCGTTTGTACTCATTTAAAACAAGTTTCCATATTTAGCTTATTTTATTCTCTTTATTTTACAAAAACTGCACTTATACACCTCTGATCAGTTTGTTGGTAGTGAAGACCCTAACTTTCATTGCTTACCTTTATCTTTGATATTGAAAGATTTTGCAAAAATATCTACCAAGATTCAATCCAGACATATATTTGCTTACAGAAGATGTAATTGGTGAAAATTTTGCAGCAGATAGATCCCAAGAACCTAACTGAAAATATAAAAGAGAATAGGTAAGTTGCAGGCCTAAGAGACAAAGCTAGAAAAAGTTCGATAATAGGGTAACAATTTCTTGAATAGAATATTCAAAGATGATAAAAGCTGGATTCAGTCAAACTAGAAAACACGTTCTTCTAACAATATTTTGGAATTATAACGGCACTATATGTTCTCTTTGTAAGATAAAACTAAAAGAGTAAACTGAAGGAATTATTCAGAATTTTTAGTATGAAGCTAAATGAAGACAAAGAGAGGAGGCCTATTTAAGTAGTGAGATGAGAATAATTGTATATGATTTAGGTAAACATATATTATTATATGAATCAAATTTTGTAGACTATATATATTTTATCATTATGAGATTGAAAACAAATGATATTAAACTATGAGCAAATAGAAACGTAAAAAAAGAAATAAATGGTAAGGTCCATGACCTAACGTTTAATGATTCTATCAATAACATTTATAGTAGAGCGTATGCCAATCGTCCTATGATGCCAAGATAACCGATAAACATATTTTACATGTTTGTTCTATCTATTTTGCTATTGCACCTTTTAAAAAAAGAATCTGGTCATTTCAAATTTAAGAAAAGCATAGGAATACAAAAATACCTATTTCCTTAGTAACTTTCATTGCATTAGATGAAATCAGATCGACAAACTAAAGAAATGTATATGTAGCGTGTGCACACTTAAGCTAGGTTATGAATAGGACTGCCACAATTAACCTCAAATAAATACCGAGAAATGAAAGGAAGAAGATCTTAATATAAGAATTGCAAATAGAAATAATTCAATACTTTATAGTTCATAGAGTATCTTATTTAAGATCAATCTTTTATTATATTGCAAACTATAGTTGACAAAATTATCGCAATACACGCCCATGTTATAGGGTTAATATAACAAATAACGAAGTGTGCAATATAGCTATAAATAATGCAAAGTAAAAATGAGAGAAAACTTATTTTTACACCTTTTACATATTAGTGCTGTTTTTTTTAAAAGTAAAAATGGCAAAAATATCTCCAAGCATACATATTCATCAACAACAAAGCTTAAAGATCACTATAAAAGATGTCTATTTTCAACATTATAAGTGTACATTGATTAAACATGTGTATATATCTATTTACTGTTTTTCATTAATAACGTTAAGGAATTATAAAATATGTGATTATTTATAGCATTAAGGTATTAAGTTAATATTCTAAAGTCAATAATGAGTCATTCCACTCGCTATACTCTCTCTCTCTCTCTCTATTGGTTCTTTTTTTTTTCAAAGGTTACCCTAATAATTTGTTATGATTCATTCAGCGCAGCTCTTTGTAGTAATGGAATATGACTAATCAATTCTAGCTAAACGTTGAACGATTGGGTGCAAAATTTTATCAATGAATGTATATATGTAGGCATAAACATATTGCAAATAGATTATTTGCATTCAGTTGAATTTATATTGGATGAAAACTTGAAATTATTCTTAGTTTTACCGATTTAACTAAACACTTGAATTATCTATATATTAGTTTTATATCATATAATGTTTATGCTTAAATAGTCTGCATTATTTCTCTTTAATTTGCCGCCATATTTGTCAAGGTGAAAACTGGTAGTAAAAACGAGAAAATAATGAATGATTTTTCTCTAATTTAAGGAAATAAAAACACTATCTGTGTGTAAAAAAATTGCATAAGATTTGATAGAAAGTGTTTAAAATATTGTCGTATTTAATTTTTTAATTAATAATTTTATCATTAAAAGGAAATATTATTGTTTTTTCTCAATGCATTCAAAACAGGAATTTCAATTTGGAACATTTGTTTGTTGACAGAAAATAACTATATATTCTCTTTTTGGCGGTTTTACTAATTCAAAAAAAGTAAATCTCAGGTGAGCTTAAGCTTGTATGCTCTTAATGACTCATTGATAGGATACCCTGCACAGGGCAGTGAGTCAGAGCTATAATTTTATGCAGTCGTCATTCGAGATCGGAGAAGGTTACCATTACACCAAAAATCTAGTGCATAGGTAATACTCTGAAAGCTAAGTGACCTATTAGTCATAAACAAGCAATACATTCAAGTTAAATGACATACTACGGAGTAAAAACCACCTTTAACCCAGATATACTATAGGTGCTCTATTAGATGCATTGATTCGAATGCACAAATGAAGAGAAAATATAAAGCAAAGAGGTGCATAGCAACATCTTCTAATTAAATATATGATACACTGGTATCAATTAGTTAACTATTCATTAAGAGAATGTTACAATGATCCCTCATCAAAACAATGAAGATATACTAGGCTTAAATAATCTAATTACAAAACTCTAACTTATAGAATTTCTATTTGCTGATACAAATAAAAAATTTACTAGTAAAGTAAGAAACTAAAAATGAGGGTAATAGCATAAATAATAATAATAATAATAAAGTAACACAGAAATAGATGTCTCTTACGTCTAAAAGATATTTTTATGATAAGCTATTAAAAGGGTATTAAACATTACGCTATTTACGATTAGACAAACTAATATCATCGGATGTCATTTACATTGAAAATGTTATGCATTTTACAAGGAGACCTTTTCGAATTTTTTGAATTAAATAATCGATAAAATAAGAGAGATACTAACGCCGTAAGATGTTAATTCTCTTAAGTAATGATTATTCAACGAATGTATTCAGTATAACAAAGATAAATTTCATAGTTTTAGAGTGAAATTTTTTTTATAAATGTAATGTGTTGTATTTTACATTTTCGAATAATCTATCTACTGTGAATTTTGTATAAATTCATTTAAATATTTAACGTCGTTTGGACCCCGGTTATAGATGTGTCCTACATGTTCTATTTTAAAAGCAGTTCTAGTTTATGTGTATGTAGGTACTTATTTTTTATAATAATAAAAATAGGGTTTTTACGTGTCATATGTATACAAAATACCGTAATTATTACAGAATCAGTGAAGATTTTCAAACATCACCATGTATAACGACTTTTAGCGTCGAAATAAACTGGAATATCTGGGACTGTAGGGTAAAATACGTCACTTGTGCTGACTCATTGTCACGTGATACAGGTGTGTGTATATAATAGTTTATACCAGGCTTTCTGTTAGACGAGAAATAGAGAGCAATGGAAACGCATAATAACCCTGCTTTCGTTAACGACGAAAAAATCCCACCAAACCTGTACGATGAGGCATTACCAACTCAGAAGGAATCCAATGGAATCAACAATTTCGATAAACGAAATGGATCACCTAAAGTTGCACCTCTCGAGGGTCAAACATCGGTTGATGAAGAATTAAGGAAGAAAATGGATCAAGAACCACTAAGATTCTGTAAATTTATAACAGATCGACCAAAATTGGCTTTTGGTATGTATTTCTAAATTATTATCTTCTTGAGTAGAAATTTTTTATAGGTAAACATTATAAACATATTAAGCAGCTCATCACTCCTTTGTCTTTCTATTTAGATGGATTACATTCAGTTTTGATCCAAATTCGTTAAATTTCGCAATCATTAACTACGATATTAAAATTAATATTTCTTCCCTCTCCATGTTATGAATATTCAATTATTGTAATTAATAGATATTGAACAACTTTTCCAAGGTCAATTATATTAAACTAAGCGTCTAAAAATTTAGAATATTAGTTCAAGTTTACCAGAAAACGATAAGGGGAAATAGATACGTCTTAATCTGTCCAAGAAATAGGTAATATCTTTATGTGCTTTTCGAAATATAATTTGTCAATATTTCATTTTTTATATAATAAGAAAAAGAACATAAATACTGCTGTAAAGATATAGTTAGAATAACTATTCATAATTCTTTTTTAGTTTTAAGTATGTATTAATAAGAATGTACTTTAAGACTTATTCTATTCTTTAACACTAATGAAATATCTAAAATCTACAAAATTTTGATGGCGGTTTCAGATTGTTAATTAAGACGCTTACGCCTCATTTATTATTAGTTGTTAATAGGGAAACGTCTTTAGTAATCTTTAACGTTATAAAATCTACGAGAAAATGAATTTAAATCATGTAACTTGAATTAATCAATTAGCTTGGCTCATGGTATGCTTTCTACTAAACGTCGATACTTTATTGATTGTAATAAAATGTTTTTTTATTTATAATAGACTGGATCCTATCTGATCCCACATTATAATAAATAAATTACAGGTAGAAAACCTTAATAAACCATATATAGATAGAGACCAGTTTATTGAAGAGAAAAAAACTGCTTATATATGTAGAAAATTGCCAATTTTATATGAGGAAATTCGATAAAAGAAAAGAAAGAAAAAAAGCTTCTTTTCATAAACATTTCTATTAATTTTTTTTTTTTTGCATATCTTTACAGATGTAACAAAGTTTTCCTCCTTTTTCTTTATATCTTATTATACTGAGGTTTCTTTTTATTTTATTCAAACTTATAAAGGATTCGAGAAAGCGCTACACACAACACGAAAGCACATACATACATAATTAATATATATATATATATATTATATCTATATTTACTTAAAATAATAAATATAAAAATCCTTTGTAAGTACATGAAATATAATTAAAATAAATGAAATAATTGCTTGTCGTTATCTATTTTTTGCATGTCTAGGAAAATCGGATTGTTGCTTTAATGATAATAATTTTTCGATGTTTTTCCCTTATTTGTCTTAAAGATAAATAATATAAGTATATTATTATAATTATATATTTATAATGAAAATCCTTCATCCGGTATTATTACGCATTGACATAAATATTCTCTAATTATAACTTAATTTTTGAGCTTTTTACGATTCTTTTTATGAATGATCTATATTGCTTTTAATTGTGTTTTGAGATAGTATATGCTAAATTTATCATTATTTTCCTTTTTGTACAGGAATCACTCTTGGAGCCCATATATTTTTCGCAGTTCTCACGCTCATCTTAATTGCTGGAGGAGTCAATATCTTTCCCATCGTCTTTGACAGATTACCGCTCGACATTACTAATGATGAACACTTTTTAAGATCGATGGCCTGGTTTGAAAGGGACAAACCGGATTACATGATCTCAAGAGGAGAAGATAAGAACACCAAACAAAAGGTACAAACTATTTTTTATAGTTTCATGGAATTAAACTTTGTTGGGGCGTCTGGCGATAACAACGTTTTTACGGAAAAGAACCTCAAACTAATTAAAAAGATTCAAGACAAATATATTAATACTGATGACTATAAAAATTCTTTTTGCTTAAAACGTTCGGATGATAAGTGTTCATATCCCACATCAGTTTTGGCATTATTCGAAGATGGCGACTATAGCGACATTGCAGGCAGAATATACGCAGCCAGTAAAGATGATAAAACAGCAGCACAGACTCAATATTTCCTTAGCAAAGATGCAGAAATAACTCCAACTAGAGCATTTTCATCAAGAACTAGAATCAGAATTAATATAGGTGGACCATTAAAAGGCTTTGATAGAGTTCCTGAGGATAATGATGATGATACTGATATGAACACAAAATATGAAAATTTGTTGAAAGAGTTCGCAAGTAATAATAACTATTGTATTTAATTAAAATACATTTCTAATTCTATGTTTTCATTTTAAATAGATATAGGAGATGATTACTTCAAAAATGGTGTTGGGGATATGGAATTTTATCATTTTTGTCCTATTCTTCTAGGAGTGAAAATCAGATCTACAGTATTTAGAGATTTAAGCTTGGCACTGGGTTCCATGCTTTTTATTGTAGTGTTTATGCTGATTCAAACTCAATCTGTTTGGATTACTTTATGGGCAGTTTTTTCAATTTTAAATAGTTTCTTAATCACAAATCTGCTATATAATGGAGTAATACGTTTTACCTATTTGGGCATATTTCACGTTTTAGCGATATTTATTATTCTGGGAATAGGAGCTGATAACGTGTTTGTCTTTTATGACACTTGGAGAGAATCTGCACATCATAAATACATTTCTATGGCACATCGATTATCTCATTGCTATCGAAAGGCAACAATGGCTATGTTTTATACGTCTCTAACAACAGCTTTAGCTTTTATTGTATCAGCAACCTCACCATTTATGGCCGTTTATACTTTTGGTGTTTTTTCTGGTATTCTAATAGTTGTCAATTATCTTTCGGTTATTATATTCTTTCCATGCGTGGTTGTAACATACACACTTTTCTGGAGTAAATTTAAGTGCTGTTGTTGCTGCAATAGGGAGCTGACTGGTGGTACTATTGAAGCACCTGAAGGACGAGATGATAATATTAAACGGAATTTTATTGTTAGATTCTTTGCTGGTCCATATTATAAGTTCATTACCCATAAAATTGCTAAATGGTTTATTCTTGTATTTTATGCGGGACTTTTAGCTGCTTTCATTTACTTTGCAAGTACTTTGGAAGTAAATCAAGAAGAGACTAAATTTTTAAAAGACAGCAGCAATTATGGACGATATCTATATGATTTGAGCAGAGAATATAAGGGAAACCGTGATAGGGTTACTGCCGTATACCTCGCTTTTGGTCTAAAAGAGCAAGATAGGTCGGATTGTTATCATACAGATTATAAATGTAACGGAGTGCAGAACTGGGATAACAAATTTAATCTAAATAAAAAATCTGTACAAGATGGGCTTACTAAATTTTGTCAAGAATTAAAAGCGTTAACGCCTGATGAAATAAGCGATTTGCATATTCGGACAGATATTAATCACAAAGATAAACCAGAGGTCTTGTGTTTTATAGATAATATGAAAAGCTTTTACAAGGTTGGTTTTTTTTACATTTTTTCTCGTAGCATTTAAGAAATTACAAAAGTACATTAATTTTTAGAGTACACCTTTGAAGTTGTCGAAATCATATGACGTATTTGATGTTAATTCTGCTAATGATATTTTCAATACCGACACAACCGACCTATATGACAAAAGAAACAATTTAAAGGGAGAAGCAGTCAACAAACACTTCGAATTGGCTATGAATTGGTGGCTATTTAATGGAAATACTCCCCCTCCTGGAACTCCTTTTGCAAAGCGCTCTGACGACTTTATACTTTTCAACGACCTGTTGGGAGAAGAGAAATTGGATGGTAGTGTTACTTACCAAAAGAATGATGAGACAAGAATCTATGGAACTCATCTAAAGTATGCGGCTATTGTTATAAATACAACACTTGAAATAAATCGAATTGGATTTGAAAAAGGTTTGCCAGTTAGAGATAAATGGGAAGATTTTATCAATAAAAAAGTAAGCTTTGTCATTTAAATAAAAAAATTGTAGGCTTATCAATAATGAATTTATTGCAATAGAGAGAAAGTCTACCAGAAGAATTAAAGGGCGTATGGCAAACAGCAATAACTGGTCAAAATTCTATATGGCATTGGCTACAAGTACAAAATGTAAGTAAAATTGTTGGTGAAAAGATAATTTTATCTCTTATTATTTCTTTTTTAAATTTATAGAAATTGGTAGGTTCAGCTGTTACTGGTATTGCAATTGGTATTGGCTTGTCCTGTCCTATTCTTATTGTTGCTACGCATAATGTAATAGTTGGTCTTTTGGCTACGTTTACTATTGGTTGTGTTACAGTATGTGTAATTGGAGTATTGCCAATTGCTGGTTGGAAGCTTGGATTATTGGAATCTTTGAATTTAGTACTAGTCGTAGGGTTGGCTGTCGATTATATTGTGCATTTGGCCGAAGGTTATTCGAGATCAGTTCACAGATTACGGAAAGACAGAGTTAGAGATATGTTAACTGAAGTTGGTGTCTCAGTTCTTTCCGGAGCCACTACAACACTTGGAGCCTCATTCTTTTTACTATTAGCTGAAATTTTATTTTTTGTTGAATTTGGCGCCTTTATGTTTGCCACTATAGGTTTTTCAATTCTGTGGGCTTTAGGATTTTTCTCTACAGTACTGGGCATATTAGGTCCACAGAACGATGTGGGATCTTTAAAACCAATATATAGATGGCTTAGTTCAAAATGCCCATGTGGTAGAAGTAAAAGTGAAAATTTGTAAAATATACCAAAAGAAGAAACGTCGAAGCAAATAGTATTCACTTATTGAAACATGCTTGAAAATTTGGGTTTCATACCAATTATAACTGTAATTGGATATAGAAACAATGACAATTGAATAAAACCTTAGTAAATTTATTAACACATTGAAGTTACCTGTGAATTTTTAAAAATTATGCATAAAATCTATATATGTACAGTGAATTATACAGTATATACATGCAGTTATAATGTATATAGTTATTTATTTTAGCAAATTTTTACTATGATAGCGTGTGCTTAACACCTGCACTGAGTACATGAGAAGTTTTATATAAGATATCTTTGGTTTTTAAATAATAAAATTCGTATTTTTTAATTACTTTTTCTTTTCTTGTTCTACTCAAAAATTTAATTATTACAGTCTGATATAATAGGACTATTATGGACTGTATGATCAATATTTACTTGATATAATGAAACTCTTGGACAATTTTGTTGTTTTTCTTCCCTTGATAAAGTGCCCTAGAAATCAACCGAGAATTGTTTGTCAAGCAAAGAAACCTGTACACTATAGCCTTTTTTCTCATTCTCTCTTACTAACTAATCAATGTTTATATAATAAATAATAACCATTATTAATTACATAATCTACAAGGTATATAATATACCATATACTATATATGATGTCTCTTAAAAGAGTATACTTAGAAATCTATGTATATTTCATATAAAGATTAAACTTGTATTTTTGCTGGATCATATATTTTGCAAGAAACAGATGTTAAGCATAGTGTAAAAATACGCTTTCACATTGATTATAGAGCTGGAAAGCGTTAGAAAGTTAACTTTTATAAAAGAATACTGTGAAATTAAAAAAGTATAAACTTTATGGAACAAGCTTTGCTTTTTAAGCATTAGTTTCAACTTGGTATTGTGATTTTCTTCCAATCTTTCCGGGAGATTTCTTAAAAAGACGATAATATAATGTAAATTATCTTATTGTAATTATCTTATTTGATATACATACATATGCACAAACGATTATGACTATAATGAAGATTACGAGGCCAGCCCCAGCAGCGGATAAGACGGCGATGAGCTTGTCATTATTGTCGTCCTCGTTTTTGACAGCTTTAGCAGTAGGTGTTCCTAAAACAAGAATAAATATACCATACATGCCTATATATTTTCATGTCAAGTAAGATATTGTATGAATACTATAACATAAACAAGATTTGTAATATATTTATAATTGAATAAAAGTACTTATTACAGGCAAGAAAAGCCTGCTTGTCATATAATTTAATCATAATGACGGATTTTCGTCATTTTCTATATCTAGATATATTTACCTCTGAATATAATTATTTAATATAATATTAGTATGTATAAATTATATACTATATATTGCATAAGTTACTTGAAGTTGGAAAGAGAAGATATAGTTTTATTATTAATTTTTTTTACCTATCTTTGCTGTAGCAGTCGTTTTGTCTGCAATTAATTCGAATAAGTTAAAAAAAAATGAGAATACTTTTTTCAATATAAAAGAAGCAACATTATTAATTACCAGGCGTAGTCTTTTCACGTTCTTTCTCTGTTGTTTTACTTGTTGTTTCTAGATTATGTATAAAATTCATTTATTATTTGCTAATTAGCTTTATAGCTGAAAGAGAATTCAACATTCTTCTAAATATTTCAAGTTTACTTAATTTACTAAAAATTGCCAAACACAAAGATCCTTATAGCTTTTTTTTATCTTGGTTTCATAAGATCAACTAATGATCTATAATAAAATTAAATGTTACCTATGTATTTTGATGTTGTAGTTTCCTTAATAGAGGTTGTTATTTGTATTGTTGTACTTTCTTCAGTAGTTGCTGGTATGGTTGTGGTTTTTTCGGTAGTAGTTTGTTCTCTAGTCGTTGTTGGAATTATAGTTGTTGGTGGTGGTATTGTAGTCTCCTCAGGTATTATTTGCGTTTTTTCGCTCATAAAACTAACTGAACGAACTCCTTTGAGTATTTTATGTTTAATCTAAAATCACGTAACTTAATTTATGCTCTACTATTTATATGATTATATACTTACAAGGTGGTATAAAACATCGACTTTTGCAGGTAGACTCTTGTCGTTAGCAGTCAATTGTAATAAGAAAGAGTCTTTTTCTTTAATCTATAAAATGCGTAATAAAGATTTTCTTTAAATCATTTTTGCACAAAAGCCACATTAGATAGGTGTATATTATATATACTAATGGATTAAATAAATTAAATTATATACATTCTATATATTGTATATACACTATACATACATCTCTAAAGAGATTGACGTTTTCTGTTGGTAAATGTAAATATTTTGCAATGTCTTCTTCGATAGTTCTAAAAAAGAAAAAACGACAAATTTTAAGAAAATGAAGTAGTTAGCTATGATATTTTCTCTTATTAACTTTTACTTACTTCTTAGGTATTGTCGAATCAACATTTGCTAAGAATCCCAATGATATGGTTTTTTTATTTACTGTAAAGAAAAAACTTCATTTCAGGGAATGTGCTTAAGTTAGTTTTTAAATAATTACAGCATCTTATATTTTCGTTTGAGCCGCTGGAGGATATTTCAAGAGGCATCCCCCATTCGTCAATACAAAAGCAATTATTACCAATGCACTGTTTTGATTCAAAATTACCGTCAGCCGTGCATGAATAACGGGAAAGCTCAGGATATTTATAATAGGCTGAAAAAAGCTCATATCTGGATTGCGATATCATATCTACCGCGAATCTGTAATATTTTGTGATGGTATCAAAATTTTAATACGTATTTAAGGGTTTACCTTATTTCTTTCCAAACATCTAATGAAGAAAATTGAGCATTTCTCCTGAAACAAAGTCCCTTTGGCTCTCCCTTGCAGTCAACAGCTAAAGTGCTTAATGGACTAATAAACGATGCTTTACATAAGCAATCGAAAACTAAAACAGCCTCTGGAAATGTTTCACAAATAAGATTTGAATCTTGGCAAGGTTCTAATTTGTCGCATTTTTTCTCTAATATGCAAAATGAAAATGTAATAAATTAGCTTAAAGTGTATAAATACCAAAAGAAATATAAAAAAATAAACACCGACCTCTACTGCAAAGAAGGGCACATTGATTAAATATGTCAAATCTATTATTATTCCCCCCGCATCCTTTATATTTAAATGACAAACATTTCTTTTGAGTTTTATCATAAAACCATTTAGTTCTAACTTTTCCATCTGAGCAGGTATATCCTTCATCAAACGGAAGCTGGCAGACGTCTTCCATTGTCGATTCTAATGAACCGTTATATTGAAAGTTGAAAAGATGAAAGTAAAGTAAAAAACAATACTTACTTGAACATGAAAAGAGATTATTGCTAACTTCAACTTTACAGTCATCGCATTGACTGGCTTTACAGTCAGTGAAAAAATTTTCTCCATTGCAAGTAGTATTCAAACACCTTTCTGAGCAAGATTGCTGAGGTTTGCCGCTTGGACATATTTCAACTTTTCCTTTGATTATACCATCACTATTGCATTCCATGTTTGGATCTTTACTAAGAGTTTTAGGTATTTCATTTCCTGACTTGTCAACACAAAAGCAAAAAAGAACTTTGTCGCCTATAGTTTTACATTGTTTGTACAGGAAGCCGTTGTGAGTATTATCACCTAGTTTTCTGCACTTAGGCAGATAAGGGCCCACCACTATTTTATCAGTTTGAAGTTCATCAATGTATTTTTCGTTTACAGTGCTTTTTAAATAGTTATTAATGTTCAGTTCCACTTGAACTGAACAGCCCATATCGCTTGATGGGGAATTTTTCTTATAGCGAATACTCGTTGAAATATGATATGGAAGAACATGCAATTTGTAATAGAGAATTTGCCAGTATGGATCAGTAAACATTTGTTGCTCGCCTATTCGAACAGCTTGTTCCACTCGTTCAGCATATTGTCTATGACAGAGGGTGGATTTTTCGAAACAGTCAACTTTATCCTTTCCAACATAAAACTCAGCTTTACAACCATTACAAGGGTTAATTCGGCATTCTGCTTGAGGATAGGCAGGACAACACTTCATTGTACAAAGTGTTACTGGGCATATATGAACAAAGGTATTTTTGGGACATAAGTCCATTAAACTATCAACAGACTCTCTACTGCATACATTCCCATGTCTAAATAAACTCGATGTAGGTGTAAGACCATTCGGAGATGTACACAGACAAACGCCAGTGTTGGACATACATGTTGAAGTATCATATGTATGCTTTTCATAATTACAGCTGAAATAATTTAACGATTATAATAAATATATATTAAATATAGTAATTGAATATGTATACTTTGGAATCATAAACAACTCAGTTGGATTATTATAAACTGTCCGTAAAGCCACTTGCTGTTCACTCTGGCATTTTGGAATGCAAGCAGCTTCTTTGACAATACAAGGAAGTGAAGAACAAGATAAGAAATAAGGTTCACATTTATAATTTCTTTCACATGTAATGTACTGTAAAAAAATTGTTTGTAAAATTATCTTGTCGATCATGACTATAAAAGAGTAAATTATAATCTTACATCGCAAGGATTATGGCATTCACATTTTCTACATCCCTTGTTGTCTACTTTATATCCATTTGGACAAAAAGTTTTGCAAGTATCGAATTTTGGACATATTCTTCTTTCTATTTAAAACAGAGATAATGAAAATATTTACTAAAGTTCTTTATATGGAAAAAGAGAAATTGACTTACCAAGAGAACATTTTGGTGAATTATCATGTTTAAATACACATTGAAGGTCATTTACGCATCCTTTCGCAAGCTTTTGTTGAACATGTTAATTTTTACTATTTGCAGTGTATATAATTTAGTTACTCACGATACAAGAACAGCTACAAAATTCACATTCAATTTTTAGCCCATTCACTAATGTAAATCTCTTTGCTAAACCTTGAGGGCATGTTTTTTCATTAGCAGAACATGATAAGGGTGGGCACTTGTTCGCTTGTTTATCTAAATAAGTTATTATCATAATCAGTAGGTGAAAATAGATCTACTACGGTTGCATAATCAAATTACCTTCACAAATGAGTGTATTACCAAGCGAAATTGGGGTCAGTTTATTAGATATTATATTTCCGAATTCATTTACACACCAGCAATTTTTTTCATCACACTGTTTGGGTGTAAATCCACCATTTTCTTTGCAGCTAATACTTGATAATGTTGTGTTGACTAATAAAAAGGAATGGAAAGTAGAGCTGTCGAATCCATCTAAGACAATCTTAGCCTAACGTACATAAAAATAAATACAATTTCTTTTAGATTATAAAATCTTTACAATAATGGAAATAATTACTTTATAGTTTATGCATTGTCCGTAGTCTCTAAAACAGTCTACCTTTTCTATTCTATTATAGGTCAATGGGTTAAAAAATTCAGGTTTGCAGGTACATTTATTCACAATGCACAATGCAGAAGGAAATCCTTTACATTTGGCTGTTTTACAGGTATCTTTGCAAACTTTCAGAGTTCCTTTAGAGCATATATCACCTATGAAATAATAAAAATGTTTGAAATTGATATTTATAGATAAGAATTGCAATTTTAAACCTTTGCATCGTATTTTGCATTGTTCCTTCGATATGAAAAGGTTTCTATTTCCTCCACAGCCAAAATATTTGAAAGGTAGACACCCTCCATTTTTTGCATCGTAGTACCACATGTCTTTGGAGGGTTTGTCGCAAGAGTTGCCCGTATCTTTGGGCAATTTACAGATATCTTTGTAGACGTCAGCTTTAAAAATTAGTTATAAATGAAATATTGGTATTTTTCCTGTTGAAATGATCTTTTACCTTTGCACCTATAATTTCTTAGGAATTCAGTATCTACTACATTACCATTAGAATCTATAGTTTCAAATCTCATTGTAGTTTCGCAATTAGAACAAGGATCAGCTCGACATAAATATGGAAGTCCTCGTTCCTGTATTAAGCAATGATGACTTTTCAAGCATTGTTCTTTACAGAATAAAGGATCTTTTCCGTCAGAGCATTCTATTAAAAGTAATTCGATATATTTAATTGTTATGATTATTTTTGGGTGATAATAGGCTAACTTAATCTCTCGACAGTTTCTGGAATAACTTGTCCATCTGCCGCGCAAGTGAAGTTATTTTTATAAAATATTGCATTATTAATTGGATTTCCCATGTTATCTGAACACCAGCAAAAGTCACCAAAGCATTGTTTAGGCATATAGCCATTATTTGATAAAATTTTAGGAAGTAAGCATTGAGGGAAGAACACCCCTTCTTGCATGAAACGATTAGCTATAAATAAAAGTTGTCATTAATAATTATGTGCTATATTTAGACTACATATTTAGATTTAGTTACATATTTCAGATGATCCGTATACTGTGTATCTGAAACTACTAATAAAAATTATAGCCATATATCCACAATTATATTCTTTAAATATTTCATTCTCTCCATTCAAATGTTGCTTTGAATCTTTAAGCATTTTATCTCTAGTGTTTCTTGTTTGCAAATTAATATTCCAATTAGAATGTTCTAGACTAAACATTGTTGTTTGAATTTCCAAAGCAAGAAATTTATCTTGAAAATCTTTCCAGCATTTATTAATTCCTATAAAGGATTATTAATACTTTATATAGCATTTAAAAATTAGAATTTAGGTTTGTTTACCGTTCCAGCAATCTACAATTCTTCCGTTATATGTAAATTCAGGCTCACAGTTGTTACACGGATTTGTTTTGCAAACAGCTTTAGGGTATCCAGGACAGCATTGAAAATTACAAGCATTGACAGCGCAAACCTTTGCTTTCTTTCCGTTTGGACAAATTTGTTTACTCCCTTCTCCTATCATCGTTTAATCGTTAGTAAATACAGTTAAAATGTAGAAAGTATAGAAGGAAAAAATAAACTAAAGGTCTTACCCTTAGAACAATTTGGTTTCCCCAATGTAGCTGTATTATTAATATAATCACCAGTCTTTTCATCAACGCAGAAGCATATATTTGTCCCTTTATAACATTGAACTCTTTCGAAATTTATATTAGCTTTAGTGCAACTGCATGTTATTATAAAAAAAAGGAATAATCATTAGAAATACGTAGATAGAATAGAAACGTTTCATCTGCTTTTACTTGTAATCTATCTGAGGTATTATCGGGTTATGGATACTTGACATTAAGTTATAATCCTTGGCAGCTTCACATTTTGATACACATCGAACAGAGGTTGGTCTACATGGGTAAGACGCGCAAAAACGGCTTTCAGGCACACACACTGAATCATTATGGCACGTAATAAACTGAAAGAAAAAAGGATAAGATGAAACGAAATAATAGAAAATCTTCTCTTATCATACTTTACAAGGATCCTTACAAGAACAGAGCTCGCAACCTTTTTCGTCTGTACTCCTTCCAAATTTACAGGTTTCATTTAAATTACACATATCAAGTGGAGGACAAACTCTATCTTCTGTCATGTGATGATTAATAGACTAAGTTTTTTTTTAAGAATATGAAAAAGAGGTTAATTACCCTTTTTACACACAGCCAATTTTAAACCTTCGAATTCTTCAATACCACAATATTCATCAGGTTGACAAGGTGCACTGTCACATGGACTTTCACAAATACATACAGTACAACCACTAGTCCTTGGATAATTATAAGGACATCTCGATAAGTCGCACCTTTCTGAGCTGAGGGAGCAAGCTTCAACTATAATAGGAGATTTTCATTTTATTAAAGACTTATTGTCAGAGAAAGAGAGAAAAAAGATGAAAATAATTCGTTAAAGTAGAATAAATCAACAAACCGCATTCAGCTTTGTACGGTCCTTTGGAACATTTTTCAATTGTAGAATCGTCACCAGTACATAACGGCTTGCTTCTTTTACATTTTGTAGGATTTATATTGTTTGCTGAACAGTGTAAAGCCTGCATAAAATTTTGATTTTATAATAAAGTATATTTTATATAAATTTGAAGTATTTTGTCGTTACACACCAGACAAGGGTCTGGTGAACAAGTACAATTTTTCGGGCAATTATCTTCTCCCAAGATGTAACCGTAGTCGCATTTATTCTGGCAGATTTTACAGTTTCCTGCAAATTATATTAATTTGGTTAATTTTTTTCGTCTTGGAGGAATTATTCTTGTTGGTTACCTGATGACTGGCCACAGCTTGCGAAGTATGGTCGATAATCGCAAAGATTATCATTAGGCATGCAGATAAGCTTCTCCGCTGTACACTTTTGGCCCACTTGGCAAACAGAGGTCTAATTAAATATTAAAGAGTTAATTATTGTGTCACTAGTTTGTAATTATTAATTCTTTATACCTTTAAGCAAGGGTCTCTACTACAAGTGCAGTTTGGACAGGTTTCATGTGTTATATTGAACCCAAATGGGCAAGAATTGGGACAGCTACTGCACGTCTTATAACACTTGGCTTCATGGCAAATTTCGTTTTGACAATATTTCATCCTGACTGCTACACATTTTTCGCCAGCAGAGCATCTAGCTGCCTAGAATATCGAGGATATTGTGAATATTTTAACTGGTTTTATTAATGAGAACTTACAACACAAGGATCTGTAATACATTCGCATACTTTACATCCTCTATCATCAACTTTATTACCGTATCTGCATGGTTCACAATTCAAAACTTTGCATTGACCTGTTATTAAGTTAGTATTACTGGAAGCTAATGTTAATTTGCTTTAATTTTTACTGGTATTTGATGTTGGTTTTATGCAAGATGGTTTTGAGTAGCAAGGTGGTTTCCAGCACGTTAGGTCAGGTTTTGCAGCACATACTTTTGCTTTATCCGGACATGTATAGTCCTAATTATTATTTCAAGCAAATTGAGAGGTATGTTAGAAGTAAGACAATTATAAACTGATTAATGCTAACTTTGCATGGCTCGTGACATTTGCATATTGGGCAACCATTGTCATAGAAGAAACCGTAGCTGCAGTTTAGATGGCACAAACTCAATTTCGGACAAGCTAGAAAAAGTATCTTCCAACTGATGTTAAAGATTAAGAAAGATTTTGGGATTACCTGATTTTGTCATTAGAAATGCTCCAAAGTAGTAAATTCCATTAACTGTATTCTCTGTATTACACCAGACAGAGGCATTATAATCGACTGATTTTAATGTCAAAGAGCTTCCATTTTGGCTCAACATAATGTTAGATTGAGAAAGAGGACCTAACAATAAAATATTTTACATTGAAAATAAATTTTACAGTATAATCTTCACATACTTTGTAGTTTTTTACCATTTACAAACCACTGAGGTCTAATTTTTGTACCAAAAATTTCGCAATAGAATATAGCATCAGAACCAACGGTAACAATAGTATCTTTAGGTGTTCGACCAATTGTAATATTATCTATTAAAAAAAAGTTCTTTTCTACAGCTATTTAATTATCTAATTATGGACTTACGGTAATATGAGATGTTAAAGGTACTTGTTAATTTATTCGAACTTCTAACATTCCATATGCCAGCATCTTTAATTGTGAAGTTACTAATAACTATTTCATAGTCAGTTTCATTAGTAATTTCCTGATCATTTAAAAACCACTTTAGAGGTTCTCTGAAAACAAAAAGAGAGAGCAACATGATACACATTTGACAATTTAGAAAGATAATTATAAATGTTTACAAAGAAGAAGTTATAAATTGAATTCTTGTAAATCCTCCAATGGGAAAAGAAGTAGAATTCGACGGAAAAACATATATTGAATGTGAAGCATCGATAGGTGAAATATCCTTTGCAGTAATCCTTATATTTCTAACTATTTTTTCTTTCTTGCTGAAAGGATTTTGACCAATACAGATGTATGCTCCAGATTGTTCAGTTGTAGGTCTAATGATAATTAATGACCCTAAATGAAAGAAAAAGATAGTTAAACTAAAAGTAAAGTATTTATCTCTATTTACCGTTAATCGTTGTTATGATGTTATGATCATCGATGATTTGTCTCTCATTTTTATCATTTAGCTTTCTCCAATAGATAATTGCTTTTGGTTTACTTTCTATACTACAATGAATTATTCGATAATCACGAGTCGTTGAGTCAAAGATAAGATTTTCTTCTTCTGGAGTCTCGATATCACTTAAATATGATATTTCGAGGCTTACATTATATGATAGAGCAGTTCCATATTTATTTCTAACTAGACACGAATATAATCCTTCGTCTGATTCATATCCTGGACTGAGAGTAATTGCCTTTTCTTCTAGAAATGTAAGTAAATTTTTTATTCTTTGAAAGTTTCCAACAATATCAAACTCCTTTCCATTTTTCAAAACGTTAAAGTCGAAAGATGAATCTGGGGGTTGAATAAAAGGACAGGCTAGTCTTATATCTCCCCCAATTTCATAATAAACAGTCTGGATAGGTCCTTTAGTTTCAATAATTGGAGGAATTCCTTCTTGTGGAAATTCACATACTGATAGTAGTTTACAATTGCTATTATCGCATTGTCCTGCAGGTTTTAGATTACAAACTTTTCCTTGGCCACACGTTTTATTCTGCAATGAATGAAAACATATGTAGGATTACAATGATAATTTTTTAGTATTCTTGTCAATATTTATAATTTTCTTACTTTACAAGGATTATAACATTCACAAATACTACATCCACTTTCTAGTTTAACATAACCGTATATGCAAGATTTGTTGCAGTCTTTAAGTAGACAGCCACTCCCTATTTAAAGGAAATTGATGATAAAAAATGAATAAGATGATAGCTGCTAATCAATACGTTTTATCATAGGAGAGCAGACAGCTACCATTGGATCCATACAAACTTTTGTAGAGCAATTTGACGGAAATATTCTTTTACATAAATATTCTGATGGACATAGCATATTCAAACAAGGATCAATTGAGCATTCGCATATCCGGCAACCATCTTCTCCTAATATATATCCAAATGGGCATTGTATTCGACAAGTTCTATTGCAAATCTTTTTAGTTGGTGTTAATGTTAAATCTATGAGAAGAATCACAAGGATTTAGCTAAAAAGTAAAGACAGAATAAGAGAATAATGCTAACTTTTTGTAACATATAAGAAACTATTATGAAATGCGTAGTTGTAGACATTATCTATTGGTCTTTTTATCATTGCTTTGCATTGTATTGACGAGATATCACTTGGCTTCACTTTTTTAATAGTTAACATTGTCTTATTAACGATCCATCTGCTGTCTATTGAAACAAAAATTATTATATTTTACATAAGGTAGGCGATTGCTTAAACTGAAAATTTGTTTACTTACCTGGTATTATATTTTTCCCATCCTTAAACCAACTAATAACACTTTTATTTATATTAGGGACGCAATTAAAAGAAACGTTAGAACCAATTTGAACTATTTTAGAATTTAGTCCCTGATACCAATTTAGTGGTTCATGGACATTAACTGTAACAGTTTTTTCAATGGCAACAGCACCATTCTCTTCTAGGCTATATATTTTTACCATGTAATCCCCTTCAATTGACTTGTTAACGTTTTCTATTGTATGAACAAAGCTCTTTGCAATTTTCTTACTAGTCTCACCATCGATTTTATACCATTCTACCTTGGGAAGCGGTCTAGAACAATACATTAAAACATTGAATTAAAATAGACTAAAGTTTTGCAGTTTTGCGGTTGATTTTGAAAGAATTTATAAAATATAAAGTTTACTTTGCAAATACCAAGCAGTAAAGTTTTAGAGTATCTCCAGCAACTACTTCGTATTTTGTTTTTATTTTGCTTATGATAGGTTCGTAAATAATATCTTGGCCAGCTTTTTTTAATAAAAAACTAATTAAATCAAAGTAATTACACTAATATAGATAATTAAGCTTACTAGTTATTTTTAGTGAGACAGGTGCAGCTTTTTTAAAATCTTTACTTAATTTATTACTGACTGAAGCTATATAATCTCCTTCATCGTTCTGTAACACGTACGAGAATATTAAATTTCCTAGAGAATGAAAGAAAATAAGCACAAGTAGAACTTTTATCATTTTATCAGTATAAAAAAGGAAAAGACCTCACCATTTTCGTCCTGATTTATCCTCTCTCCTAGTTCAATCTTTTCTTCTTTGCCATTAATAATTTTTAGCCACTCGTAACTAAGTGAACTTATAGGAATTCCAGCTGTCTTTGGTATTTTAATTTCAAAACCTTTGAAAGCTTCTGTATAAACAGTTTCTTCTCTGTTTCTAAAATTATTTACATCTAGAGGAGAAATAAAAAAATAAAATATCTTCAACAGGGAAGATCGTACGCTCTTCTTACATGCTATTTTTATTGAAAAATCGTATATAGCCGTTCCTAGAGAGTTTTTTGCTATACACATATAATTTCCTTGGTTCTTAGCTGATATTTTAAAAAAATATAATACTCCAAATTTTAATCCATTTTCATCTATATCAGTATCAGAATTCTTTACAACTGGATTATTACTTTTCATGAATTGATAACTAGTTAACAGAGATTAATACAATTAATTCAATTATCAATTATAATTCTTAATGGATTAATACTTCATTTGTTGTTGGCCCAGAGCTGAACAATTGAGCACCAATTCATTACCAATTGAAGCATAAACAGTCTTGTTTGGAAGATGATTCAAATTTATAACTGGCGGATGGTTACCTATTGAACAGTATATATTTGTTTATAAATCGTATACATATATTGTACATATATATTAGTATATTAAAACCTTCGATTTTAAAACCACAGCTTGCTTTGGAAATATATGACACTCTGGTAGACTGGCATATGTAATTTTGGGGACAGATCATATTTTTACAGGGATCTTCTGCGCATTGGCAAGTAGGGCATGAATTTTCTCCCATAACAAATCCATATTTACAATACTTTTCACAAACGATACAAGTTTTATTGTTGTTTTTTTTGCCTGTTAAAAAGAACAAAAAAGTTTCGTCTTAACCTAATAATTGTATTAAAATGCATATTTCTTTTACTTTTCGTAACATTCAAATAGATGGTTTTATATAGGTAATTATACGGGTATCCATTATTGCGGATAAGGCAACTAATCGTTGATGAGGAGTTCAGTTGTACGTTAGCTATAGTTAACTTTTTACCATCTTCCGATAATCTTCCTAATTGAGAAACAAATAAGGTAAAATTAAAATATGGAACTCAACGAGAAGGTATCAATTATTGTATTTACTATCATTTTCCTCAATTCTTGTATCGTTAATCTTCCAAATAATAGGATGAACATTGGGAAATGATGAACATTCCGATATAAAATTTTTTCCAATCAGTAGATTTTGAGAGTATGGTATTTTCATCCACTTTAGTCTTTCTGTAACCAAAATTCATATTAATATTTAATTCGTCACATATAATATCCAATGAATAATTATAGCTGCTAATTACTTGTAACGTTTAATGTTATTCTTGTTGTTACAGTTTCATCTGCATCACTATCGTGTGCTATACATGTAAAAATTCCGTTATCGGATTTAGAAATATTTTGTAAAAGAAGTGTAGAACTCTTTGATTCTAAGGTCTTTGATGATGGATGTAACCAAGTTATTTTTGGGATAACACTAGATAAAATTAAATAAAAACTTCAAATAAAAAAAAAGGGGGAGATGAACAGGGCATATACTGACTTGGATGATGCAATACAGTAGAGAGTAACATTTTGGTATTCAAGAACGTTTATTCTTGTTGAATTGTATAAAATTTTCAAAGGCAAATTTGTTGGTGAATTATCTTTAAAGACAATATTTAAATTAAATAACTTGATCTATATAAATCATTTTAATATAAAAATCAAATTTAATAAATTCCTTTTTCTCCCTCCTTCTCTCTCTCTCTCTCTCTCTCTCTCTCTCTCTCTCTCTCTCTTATTAATTTATTTCATTTTACAATATTTAGACTGAGAAATAATGAAAGAGCAATGCATCAGCATTACAGTTTTCAACTAACCTTTAATAAATACATTTATTTCATCACTAATAATAAATTGATTCTGATAAGGAAATGATATATTTAAATAGTATTTGCCAATATCTTCTTTCTCCAAATTTAAAATATACAAATCACCTATAAGTTATTGTGTTAAACAAATGATTTATTAATTGAATAAATTGTTTAAAAATATAATAAAAGATTAGAGATACCATTGTCATTCAGTATTAATCTTTCACTCCTTTCTAGCAATATGCTATCCTTGTACCAATTGAAACGAAGTTTACCCAAGTCGTTGCCACTGAAACGAAATAAAGGCGCCTGGATTCGAAGGCTATCACGCAAAGAACCTTCAACTTCTCCAAGAGGATCCGATAAAAACCCTTCTAATTCTATGGAAGAAAGATTCAATAATAAATTGATAATGAAAAAAGTTTTTATTACATTTTTATAAATATTTAATATTGTATTTCCAAGGCCTACATAACGAAAAAGATATCATCCAAAGGCAATTAAAAAAGCCTCAAGAGTATAGAAATGTGTCGTTGGTTGTAATTGATATTTTTCTACTGTTTTAAGTGTTTTTTTCGTGTTCTTTCTTTGTATTTTAATTTCTTATACATTGGTTATTAAATTAATAAAATGTTTTAAATTGAAAAATAATGCCAAAATATAAATCTAATTGTCTTTAGTATGCGATAAAATTTGTTTTTACGAGTAAACTTGTCTACTGACCTGGTAAATTTACTTTGAAATTATAGGAAACAGTTCCAAAGCTATTACTGGCTTTACAGGAATAATTTCCTGTGTGTATTCTTTTACTATCCTCTATTATCAAAACCCCTGTTTTACTCGGATCCTTTTCAAAGAATTCAGTATCAAGTAATTTTCCATGTTGGTAAAATTCGTATCTATATTAATAGAGGATAGAAATATGGTGTACATGAATATATGTATATATATATATGAATATTACTTTGGCTTGGGAAAGCCATAACTTGAACAGTTGAATTTTGTAGTTGCCCCTTTTTTCAGAAAGACAAATTGATCAGGTAAAGTTGACGTATTGAAAATAGGAGCATGTCCAAAGGCTGTAGGTAAAAACAAAATTTTCTTTTCTAAATAGTTGTAAAAGATGTTCTTTGTAAAAATGTCGGCCTCTTTCGATTTTATACTAAAATAGAAGCTACCCATTTATAGAACTCTTGAAAAGTTGCTGTCATAATGATACAGTATATATATATATATATAAAATATTTTAAATTAAATAAATATTTGTATGTACATGTATTAGATTATACTGTAGACCATATATGTACTTTATATATAAAGGCAAATATAAATTACATGTAATGCATAGTATAAAGATTATAATGACTATCAATAAAAGTCAACAAGAGGCCCGCATCATATTTGACTTGCTACTGTCTATACAAATGATTCTTTTTAAACCTACATGTAAAGTTGTTGAAATTTGAAATTATTACATTTTTATCTATCTTTAACAAGTGTTGTAAGATTATTAAACATTGTTAGATAGCAATAGAAGTAGAAATAGTAAAATATCGCGAAACATACAAAAGTAATTGTAAGAAATTGGAAATGTGAAATTCTTATAAGCAAATATTAGAATGCACATGGTATAAACTACATATTCATTAAGAATCGTTTTTATTAGAGGCTTCTCTAACGTATTCTCAACTCACCTTTAATGAATAGACATGTCAACAAAAATATATCAAAATTCTTTATTATCGTAATCTTCATATTTAAGAAAAAAATTTCATTTTTTAAGTTTCAAAATGATATATAGTATACTAGATCCGGAAGTTCTCTAAGACACCCTGTATCAGTCTCCTTTGACGGAGCAATATGCTTTTTATAACAGGTTTATTCTAACCTGAAGAGTATTGATCGAATTTGAAGAATTTAAGCAGACAAGTCTACTTAAAAACACGCATTCTATATATTTGACAATATTATTAGTGTTTTAGTTGACTGAAGATTTTTCGTGACTATTTTCCTTAAGAGCTTTTAACGTTTTTTTTTCACCTTCACTTATTGTTTTAAAGGCGTCACTTGTTAAATTTTTTTTTAGCTAAACTGAAGAACTGCTTTAGGAATTATTCTCTTTCTTTTTCAACAAGCAAGTGAAATATAATGTCTCATTTTTGTCCTGAAAGTACATTTCTATTATAAATAATAATTTAAATGCTCTTAGCCCTTGTCTTACTAATGAAAATTGTTATAATTGTCATTATAATAGGCTTTGTTAAAAAAAGTATATTCTAATTAACGCATGACTGTCGATCTTCCTATCTTTTAATAATCGAAATTATGATTTGGGGACAAGTAATTCAGGTTTTGTTTTTTAAATAAATAAAAATTGTTTATTTAGATTTTATAGTTTAACTAAAAGCGAATTAAAGAAGAATTGCTGATTTATTGATCGCACCCAGCAGCAAAGTAGGGATCAAATTCGTTTAACTGAAATTCAGTAACTTCAACTTGATCAGATAGGATGCTTTTAACCCATCCTTCATTATAGGCTGCTACTGCATATCTACCGGGTTCTCTTACTTCAGCATGAATTAATTTTCCGCTAAGAATGTTAGTTAGAGACCATTCATTATCTCTCCATTTAAAAAGGCCCCACTTATGAACAGGTTGCGTGGGTTTATTCCAGATTATTAAACAACCACCAGTTCTAACTCCTTTTGCCGTTTCAATAAATGTTGAATTTGCTAGCCAAGGCATTGGGGGAATTGCAGCTACTTTAGTATAAACGTGATTTTTTAATAAGTCTGCTATTCCTTTGATGTTATTCATAAGTAGTTTAACCCGAAAATGAACATTTCCAAGGGAGTTTAATTCTGTTAAAGATCGAGAAACTTCTATTTGGCGTTTTATTTCATTTGCAGGCCAATCGTTATTTTCAATTTTATAAACAGCGTTACCAGCATAAATGTGTCTATTTTTTGACTGTTGATTTACATTGCACCACCAATTTAACAACGTAGTATAGCTTTGTGCTGGGGGATCAATTTCCCAGTAGAGTTGAGGAGACAGAAAGTCGACCCAGCCGTTTTGTAGCCACAGTTTAGCATCGGCATATAACTGCGTATACTGATCAAATCCTGCTATAGGGCGAGGCATCCCCTCTGGATGACCCGGTCGATAGATACCAAATGGGCTAATACTAAATTTAACGTGACGCTTTAACGCTTTGATTTCGTTATAAACTCGTTGGACAAGATCATTAACGTTCTTTCTTCTCCAATCGTCCCTAGGCAAAGCTCCTCCAGCCGATAGATAATCGTTATAAGTCTTATCATCCGGAAACGATACACTATTAACTGGATATGGATAAAAGTAATCATCCCAGTGGATACCATCAACATCGTATCGATCGAGAACGTCCCTTATTACCTTTGATAGACGGTCTTGAACAGGTTTGGCTCCTGGATCCATCCACAGATAGTTTCCGTACGGGTAAGCATACTGCCTAAATTCGTTAGCCATATGATTTGGGGCTAAACCAGTCCAATCCGGTCTCAAATTTGCACGGTATGGATTTACCCAAGCATGAACTTCTATGTTCTGCTCATGGGCTTTTGCTATTAGAAAACTCAAGGGATCGTAAAAAGGTGAAGGTGGAGTCCCTTGACTGTTAGTCATATAAACACTCCAAGGTTCAATTGAACTGTTGTAAAGAGCGTCACCAGCCGGTCGTATCTAGATGATTATTGTTTTAAACATTAAAAATAATATACAATAAATAGCATATTAACAATCTGGGAGAATAATTAAGGCAGTGAAAGATGAAAGAAAGAGAAAACTTTTACTTGAAAGATAATAGCATTCATACGACTCTCTTTGACGTAATCGATAATTCTCCTATAAAAACAATTACAGAATAATAAGTATGGCTTAAGAGAGACCAATAAAATTTTATAGACCCTAAATATCTAAATAATTATTTACTGTAATTCAAGAATCTGTTGAGGAACCCGTAATGTTTTACTCGATGGCCAATCCAAATTATTAACGGTGGCTACCCAAACAGCTCGAAATTCTTCATTTGGTTCTATTCGAGCAAAACTTCCAGCTATGATTGTAAAAGAGTATATTTTCTTCAACATATTTACTTTTCATACTCTACTATTTAGTTAGTAAATACAAACCTAAAAATACAGCTAAACCAATGATAACAAGCTTCATTTTACTGACATTCAGTTATAGATATTTTATATATTTAAACCAATGTACAATAATGATTGTTACTAATGTTATGTTATATATAATAAACATTTTAAAGAAATCTACGAAATGAGAATTAACAGACGAAAGAAATAGCAGAAGTTATATAAAAAAAATAGTTAGGCCTGCAAAAGACTTTAAATAGTAGAAAACTAAGGAACTTATCAAAAAAAAAAGTTAGTTTGTTCATAATAATATAAATATTTCCTAATATTTTTCTTTGAAAGAGCGATAATAGAATATAATGTTTTTCTTTGTCTTTGTTAATAAATAGATTTAATAGACATTTTATGTATTTAAAACATTTACGATCGAACAAAAATAAATCTCAGAAATCTACGAAAAAACCTGAATATAAATATTTTAAAGATGATTATAGCAAGAATAAATGAAAGTATAACAATAACTGTAAATGCTACTGTGGGATGTGTTGATAAATTCGGCAATTTATTGTAATTTACTTCGTGTCGTTGCTGTTTTACTTCTTCGTTACTGGCAATCTTTCTAGAGTGAATTCGTAGGAAGATATCTCTTTCAATAGAGTTTAATCCTTTCATATTCCAGTCAGTAAATTGAGTAGTTGTTCCCGGAACAGTGGTTGTAATGGGTGTGGTAGAGGGTTTTGTTGGAGTAGCTTTCTTTATCAAATCCTTTTCAACAATATGATCTATGTCGGCAAATCCATCTGATTCGAAATCTTTTGTCAATGGTGAATATTTTCTAAACTTTTTTCCAAACTCTTTTGCATTTCTAACTCTTTTAAAAAAAGGACTTGAACGGGCTCCAATCCTCTTTAGGTCCATTATCTTTCTTTTTTTAACCGATTTAAAAGCTTCAAACGATACTGTATCATTCGTTTTTAAATCGTTAATTTCGCAAATGTTCCTATCGGCGTATCTCATAATAACTTCGTATTCCTATTTGAAGGCAGGATTTCCTCTTATAAATCGCCATAAATTTATTTTACTTGGAAAAAAATAAGATTAACGAGAGATCCTTAATAAATTGATAATGATTAAAAGATAAATAGCTCTTAAATTAGATTTTAAGATAATTATTACTAATAAAAAGTGAAAAATCTACAGTATATTTTCTAATTTGATACTGCAAAATTGAGTTTAATATTTTAATTAAAGTATAATAAAATATAAGAAATAATCCTGCCTGCTTATCAGATTGTAAATGAACAAAGAATGAATCTCTTCTATTAGACATACCCATTCTATTTGATATAACTTGAACATTTGGTGCACCAATTATATAAACGATTGTACTTAAACTATCATCTAGTGCAAAGGTGACATTTAGAAGGCTTACATCAATCTTTCCTCCGCTCTTCTCAATTACAGTGGTATTGACAATCTCCGTTTTTACTCGTTTGCTTGTAGAGCTGAGGGACGTAACTTGTACTTGTATTTTACCGTCAGGAGTGTTTAGAAAGTTGACGGGAAAACCTGGTAAACTTTTACCCTCCTCCCATGAAAAGTACATATTAGCAAAACTAGAGGACATTAATCTTATAGGAGTGTCACTGTGTGCGTGAATATGGTCAACAATGATCAGCATTTCGGATCCTAAAACGAGGACTCTTCTCTGAACGCTATTTAATTTTAGAAAGGATGGATAAGCGTCAGCTATGTCTACTGCCAAAAGCGTCAATTCCTTTATCGTTCTTGTAGCAGCTATAACATCTGATTTCGAAAATAAGGAGCGTCTTTCCGAACATTCTCCAAGTTGTCCAAACCATGGTTTAAGGCAACCATTTTCGTCTGAGTTTCTAACAAGAAAACTAATTGAATTCTGTAGGTCAGTAAAAACACTTCCTTGAAAGGCAGTGAAAACAGGAATTCCTCGAATAATTAAATTAAATCCGCCCTGATAAGGGGGTTCATCAAGAGAAGTTAAATTTGTATAACTGAAATCTAATGTAGATTTTTCTAGAGCATCTTGAACTGTAGGCCCATAGGGTCTTGAAGCTCTGAGAAATAAGTCCCAGTTAGTATCTCTATACCTCAATAAACCTGAATCTGGGAGGTGAAATAAGCCTGCAGTGAGGCGAGGTCTAGTGGGTTTTATACCATCGGCTTTCCAAATTAAATAATAAAATAGACTAGGTGTAACTTTCCACGACTTTCTTACGGAGATTATATCTTTGTATGCATTATTTACAAGGATTTTATTCAAAATCCATGAAGCTCTGCCATCAGCTGCCGCGAAGCGATCAAGAAAAGCTAATTGTGCTTCTGGTCCGTAACACCAACGGGGGTGTTGATCAACAACTGAATCAGGAATGGAGAAAAGTGGTAAAATTTCGTGAAGCGTAAAGACTAAATGGGAATATATCCAACTTTGGGCAGCTGCAGGTATTTGGTAGTGACGTTCTGTCAGGTGAATATAAATCATCAGGGGCAAGCTTGCTTTCTGACTATCTAATAAGGATATAGGTAGTGAGCCGTCGGTGACCCCATTAGCTATGTGCAGAACACGATCGAGAAAACGTCCACCGGAAACTATCCACAGAGAGGAATTATTGTTTTTTTGTATTTTACCAAATAAACCAACAAGAAAGAGGGCCATATGATTATTTACGCTAATTTCATGCAGAGGATTCGAGCCCCACCACAAAGATCTAGAATCTGCATATAACCTTTGAGCTTCTAGTTCCAACTTTTTTGTGTATTTTGATATTCTCCAAGATGGTAAAGAATCCATAATTATATCGATTGATATCGTAAAACCTGATATCATAGTCGATAACGTTTTATCGCTCATAAACCTTTCATCCTTCCAAGTTTTCAACTTGACAACAAAATCCATCATTTCCAATAGATTTTCCTTACAGGTTTTATTTTGATGAATTTCGCAGTATATAGTGTACAGTGGTAAATTTGATCCAAGTATGAATCCATGTTTCGTTATGAAGGTTTCATTTAAATCCGTTAGAGGAAACTTTATGTCTCTTTCAACAACACGCATAATCTGTTGCTTTATAAAGGGTGAAGTCTTATTCCATCCATTCCTTAAAGCTTTTAAGTGATTGCGGTCAAATAAAAGCTGTGGATGATTTGGTTTCTGCTTGGATAATTTTAAATTATTTCCAATTTGCTTATTTTTATGTTTTGTTGAATTTTTATTTAAGTTATTTTTTATTGGCTTTGGGCTTTTTGTTACTTTTACAGGTAATTTTTTTTGTTTGGGTTTAACAGTTATTTTCGATGATTTGCTCTCCAAAATCTTTTTATCCTTATTATTTACTTTTTTAGTATTTTTGGTAACATTCTTCGCGGAAGCATTACAGACAACAATTGTAACAATTAAGGTTATTACTAGAAGTTTCCAGCCAAACATCTTTCGCTAATTGCTAGAATAAATATAGTTTATTCATTTATATTATTATACTAGAGGTTATGCACACACATATATAAAGATATATAAATATATATATATATATATATATGTATATATTTATATTTTGTCTTATAAATAGGTTAGTAGTACTCTTAAGAAATCCTACCTTTGGTCAAGACTAGTCTATAAAATAACCTTTTAAATTAAATGTTTAAAGAAGACTTTACTTGAAAAACATTTTCCTGCAGCAGATACTAACGTGGAATGGCTTAAAAAATTATCAGATTGAGTACTATTTATCGAGTACAGATTCTTATTTAGACTATTACATTTGTAGAGAATATGTGGTTGAGTTGCGGAACTGTGGTAAACAATTGATCATTTAGCCTATATGAACTTTTTAAACTTTGTATAACAAAAAAAAAAGATTCCACATTTCATTTATTTCTACTTTTAGTCGTATTCTTTTTACTTAAATAGAACGAATTAAATAGTCTATATAAAAGGAAATCAGTAAAACCTTTAATCTTACTTCTAAGAAATAATAATATTCATCATACTATTAGAATTAATGATAAGCTTATATCTGACTTGACTAAAATAAGACTGTTGAAAAAGGAGGGGGACGAAAGAAAGACGGCTAAAGATTTTTCTAGAGACAATATTAATGTTAATCGGTGAGCCGTTAAACACAACAATCCTTAACAGGAGTTTAAGACGAGAATACGGAAAAAGAAACGTATTATTCTTCTATTCTTTTTCCCAATTTTCTTTCCTTCGACTGTTTTCAGTTGAAAAAAATTGTATTAATGTTAAAAAAATAGGCCTATAAAATGTACCATTTTCTTTATTATGTATTTTGAAATATCGTTAATTTAATAAATAAAAATAGTTTGTTCAGTTGTCAAAACGTCAAAATATATTTTATTTTCGAAAAAATTATCTGATAGAGGGAGGCATTCTATACTATTAAATTAGGAGATCTTTCAATAACTTACACTAATCCTGCTAGTTTACTCTTTTCTAAAAAACGAAAAGAGAGAGAGAGAGAGAGAGAGAGAGAGAGAGTTAGAAGAGTAACTAATAGGCAAGATTGGCACTACGACTGTATTTATTAATCCAGATTATGGAATTATAAATGTATATAGCGTATAAATAATTTTATATTATTAACTTGTAAACAGTCGCTTAAGTATTGTATTTTTATATTCAGTTCACATCAATTAATAGCTGATATAGGTATTGATTTCATAAATAGTAGCATATTGGATATCATTTATAGCTAACCCCAAATAAAGATAATTGTTTTAACAGTAGTATATTTTTTTGTTTAACCTCATTATCGATCGTTTTAGTATTTTTCTTGTTATGATAATAAAAGAGAAATATTTAGTTTACTGGAAGGCTTTCATACCTCGAGTAATTTCTATTACTGATATTATATTATCTATTAAAAAATATGAGTAAAATAATTGAGATTGTCTAGGATGCAAGAGATTGTGTTTAAGTTTCCTTGGATACAGAAAGAAATCTTCTCATCAAACTATAACATTACATTTACAAATACTGTTTACAACTAGAATAGAATAAAAAAACAAGATGATTAGATATTCTTACTATCTATCTGAAATGTTTTGGACACACATCTCTCTCTATCTCTCTCTCTCTTTCTCTCTATATATCTCTTGTATAATCTACCGAAATGGATATCAAAAATCTATCAAAACACACTGTACACACGTAAAACTTTCCTATGAGATTTAATTCATATGTTTTATTAAATAAAAACTAGCAATTTTTCTTATTGTTATTATATAGACTCTGACTCATAATTTACCTTCTTCAATAGGATGCACGTTAGCTGATGAGACAAGCAAAGAACCATTAATGTCCATAGATAATACCCTATGGACTGCTAAAGAAGCTCAAAATATTCAAGACTGTTATCAGTAAATTCCATTATCCATGAGTAGATGAAGACTTCATGGCAATACTGTATTTACAATAAAGGATCTGGAGAGATTTTTATAGCTTAAAGGAATCGCTAGAGTATAATTGGACTGAAATGTAGTAGGATTCGTCTTAACTGATTTTCTTCAAGATCTAAAACAAGTATGTCAGTTTCAGATTTCATCGCCTTTTTTTTCTCTACTGCCATAATATTTCTTACAATTAATATTTTCCTGTAAGATTCACTATAACCCTAAGAAGAGTAAAGTAAATTAAAGACAAGTATATTCTATTCCCTGGAGTGAATTTCAAATAGATAAATTAATTATCATATATTTTTAGGAAAAGATTGATATGTTTATTATATATTGAAGACTTTTTAAATGTAGAGTTTTCATTACTTAATATCAATTTACCGATATCATTTTTACGTAAAAAATTAATGCATTTTTTTAGCCTACAGGGAAAAACGATATGATATACAATATAATAAATTTGGGAAAAGTAAATGAAATAGAAATAGTGGGACATAAATAAATATGCTTTCTAAAGAGGATGGTCATATTTTGCTTAATATCTCTTATTCATATATATATCTCTATATTAATATAATATATATATAGAGTATATACTCTATAACAGTTTATATTATTTAAGCAACGCTACATACTGCAATATGATAAAATTCTAGATTTTTATTCAATAGCTATATATTTTTAACAATCATATAAAATGAAGACAAAATAAACACACCAGATTTATATAAAATACTATTTACTGACTATACAAAAAAAGGAAAGAAGGTAATAAATTTAATAACATTATTAACAAAAAGGTTAGTAAAATCAGATCATACACTCAATTTTGACAATTTATTAAGTAAACTAACTACTTTCATTTGGTTTGTGTCCTCTTCTAGTATAATATACAGTATACAACATAGTACATATATATAATCTTCTTCTTTTAATATATACTAGCATATGTATCCCGAATAGCTTAACTGAATGGGAAAAATGATAGTAAAGAGTATTGAGTAACATATAAGTTGATAAAAATATGTTGATGGATTACTGGAAGATATACAGAGAAAGAGAAATATAGAAAGCGATAGAGAAAGGGAGAGAGAGAGAGAGAGAGAGAGAGAGAAAGCGAGTTAGAAAGACACAGACAGACACAGGGAGTGTGAATAAGAGAGGGAATGAGATGAGAGAAAGAGAAACATAAAAAAGCTAAGGGAGGGAAATTAAATTAGTGAGTGCAAGAAACAACTAAATGTTATTTTTAACATAAATCTTTTGTAAACTCTTTTCACTAAATAAAAATATATGTATTACAATGAATAGAACGATTGATTACTTTCAAAGACAGTTTTATTAATTAATTGACATTTTCACTGATTTGTAAAAATAAAATAATATTAGATCAAATTTATTAGATTTTCATCATATTTAAATGTTAATAGGAAAATAAATTATTAGTTAAAAAATATTTAAATAAAATTTAAGCTTTAACTTAAGGAATAAAAGTAAAAATTGATTTATTACGTAATTGGTTTGTTCTTAAAGATTGTTAAATTTTTATTTATTAATTATTGAATATAAAATTTCTCTTTTGATTTTTAAAACATCAACAAAATTGATTAAAGAAATGAATAATTAACCTCTTAAAATTTTTATATTAGATATTGGATAATAGATTTAATCTTCTTTATTTACTTGATTCTCGTTCATTTTTTATGTGTTTTGTAGATTTATACCATTATTATAATAAACGCCATATTCTTCTTCTTCTTTTCTTCATTTCCTCCTTACAGTCTATGTTTTCTTTTACACAATTAAGAAAAGTTAACTTTTTCCGATTTCTAAATTGTTTTCTGATTTTTGTAAAATAATTTCTTCTATTTTCTTATTACAAAATTTCCTTTTTTCAGAGTTTTTCTTACGAAAACGATGATGAATACAATGTGTTTCAATTAAAAAACCTTTTTTTAAATTTCGTTCATGTTCTTTTGGCATTGTTATAATTCAGTTATTATAAACTAGTAACCTTATTCAAACAAACATTTTCATTACTTCTTTCCGGTTGTTTAAGGCTTTTCTTTGTAAAAATTTTTCTGACTATAAATTTAACGCACAATTTCCCAAAGAGTACTACTAAAACAATGGTACCAAACAAAACAGGAACCCATAATGTTAGTAGACTTTCAAGAGCTTTCAGAATAGTCATAAGCGTAACATTGGGACCATGGGGAACGTATTCAGCACTCTGAAATGTTGCCCTTACTAAGTTTATACCAGCTATAAGTAGGAGAGATGAAACTGATGCTGTGTCTGCAACGTTTCCTCTCCTATCTCGATACGGCTTAACGTGTTGATGATGAATCAAGATAAGAAAGAGTGCAACCATCATGCAGAGAATTCTAAGTAAAGGACTATTTGTAAACGTGTACAGCAGAACCAGTACTAATCTTCTAGCTATTAATACACCTGTAAGGAAAATATAATGTCCTTTTTAATAAGTTATTCCAATATATATATACAGTATATGCTGTATATAATATATATATTTTTATATATAAATATATTGCATATTATCTTGCTTGATTATTACCTGCCCAGCAATAGGGACCGAAGGTTAATTGATCGGTTGATTTGTAAGGCCTTTGTAGTACGTTATACACAGCTCTTGTTGGATTGGACATTGTAGGAACATTGACAGGTTTCTGTCTCGTCCGGAGGAACAACCAATAACCCAGGAAAGGTAGGGGAAAAAGACACGCACAAAAGAAAGAAGGCAACGATACTCTTCCATCTCTTAACAGACCAGGACCCAACAGTAAAACCAAGCAAAAAGGCACAATACAACAAATTGCGTAGGCAAGAACCCCGTATTGCCAAGGTCTATAGCACAATTCTTCGCCATCCAAAAATAAAACTAATTGATCTCCAACAGTTACGCAATTCAATAATTTGAAAGCAGTCGTTGCTAGTTGTTGGTAAGTGAACAGCAAGGTAAGCATGAATCCTGTTTGGTAATGAAATAAGACGATTTAAATGCTTTAAAATAAACCTTATGAATCTGTACCTGTAGATAATCTCGTTAAGAAAAGCGATGATTTATTTATGCATCTACATATTATGAAGAGAGTAAGAAATAGAGATATAACAAAAGGAACAACAACTGCTTGAACTAGTTGCTTATATACAGGCTGTAGTCCCGGTAACAAGCACACTCTATTCAAATTAGACACCGTCGCTAACTCGTTCATTCGAAATTGGAGCAGTCCTATAAAAATATGCTTGAGCATTAAATAGATGGGATTAGCGTCAGCGTTATCAACTGTATGAACATATAGTAATTTTGCGTCTTGAAAAAAGTACAAAACTATGATAAGGAAGGTTGCTCCTATATCAGGAGGAGGCTCTTGGCTAACTTTAGTTTGGACTTGAACTTCAATTTCGTTGTCTTCTGCATCACTGTCCCTTTCTTTATCTGTCTTATCATTTTTTAATCTCTCTAACGCTGATTCATCTTCGATCGCTGCAGTCCCATTTGTTTTAGGAACCTCAACTAGAGTATTGGGCGGTGGAACGCTAAAAATAAAATCCCTGATGTCTTTCTGATAAAGCAAGAATAAAACAAATAGTATTCCGTAAACGGGTAGAAAGAACCAAATCCATAGAGGGCCACAAGTTTCATTACGAACGCAAATAGGTGAGAAAAGTGCTTCTGTATAATTTTCCATACACCTCCCACATAATCGTCCTCTTCTCAGATGTGCACAAGCGTCAAATTTCGAGCACTTCACATCAGCGCAGCAATAACCATTTGGACACAATTGAAATTTTATGCCAGAGCGATAACTGTAACCCCAAAAATTTGGCTGCGCTTCCGGTGCCCCTTGAGAACATTGAGCCCCATACGGACATTGCAGACACTCTATGTCATCATATTTATAACTTCCAGTAAAGCGACGATTGGCAGAATCCCCATTGATCATGAGAGTATAAAAAAATAAATCAGTTGACTCTATTTGAAGTAAAGCAAAATCATAATTTAATTTATTGATAATCCTTTGTTTTTTTCTAATCTAGAAATAGTAAATATACTAAAACGAGAGATTTTGAGTTAATCTAAATCCTAATTTCCTAGAGTCTCTTTTTTTACAGAGAATAAAAAAAACCAAAGAAAGAATCCGATTTTGCGACTATCTTGACGTATTCTACCATATTTAAACGTTAATTGAAGGATTTCACGTATTAGAGTGTAGCAATCCATGAAATCGAGATAATTTGTAAAAGGAAGAAGTAAAAGAGAGGAAATGCTGCGTATTTTAAAGGAAACCAAATACTCCTTATAAAATCTTGTGATAAATTATTCTCTCTTCTCCTTGCCCTTTACACTTATTCCGAATGATATTTAGTAGAAAAAATTAGAATTTTTCTCTATTATTACACTTCGTCAAGAAATTACGTTGGAAATCTATTTTAAAGCTCATTTCGAATCAATCCAATCCCCCCATGATTCTCGTTAGTTAATCTAGTAACCATCTCTTGTCATATTGATATAACAAACGAACTTTGTACTAATTCTTTTGTAATATTATTGAATATATGAATAAAAAAATTATAAAATTGATTAAGCATATAGGAAATGTTAATTTCTATATTATTAATTGTTTTAGATAACGCATTAATGAAGGATAATTAAAAAATAATACATTAATAATAGCCTTCAAATCATCTCTTATTTTACTTTTATTATATAATTTTGGCTAACGTTAACTAATCTATATTCTTAAAGAAACATTACTGAAAAATTTACGAACCTGCCACGAGGGTAGATGACATTTTTCCTTGTCTAATAGCATATTTATGCCTAGGACAAGATTCGCAATAGTAGGACAATTGATCGAGCTTATAGCTACTTAAAAGGCCAACTTCAGCTTTAACTTTATAGGCGGAGTTATTCAAGACTCTTAATCGGTGACCCAATGGACAAGTGATGTTTATATCATAGACGACAATGGACCAATGTTTACCACTGTGCCTAAGCATTGTTTTCTCATTATGTGCGTTTGTTATGTTGAGAACAAGTCCTTCGATACTAACGTTTCCATTTGAATATAGTGTATCACCTTGAACAAGTAGATCCCGATTGAAAACATTCGTTATAGTTGTATTACTAATTTTCAAGTCTCCGGATCTATCTACAAAGAGCGTTCCACCCAATACGAGCGCCGAATTATTAACAAATATGCAGCTGGTTACATACAGAGTGCCTCTTTGAACCCGAATAGCTCCAGCTTTACCAGCAAGTACAATTGTACCTTTAACGAACTCAGAGTAAATCCCAACTTGACTGCCATCTGATAATTTCCTAAAATTATCCTCATAAGTACGGGGAAACGGTCTAAAATCCCCTGCTCTGTTGTGTAAGAAGACGGAATTAGATATTTTACCAGTCCATAGTAAGTTGCTTGACCGTTCTGGTCCAAAAAGTGCAAGAAAACCGGCTCCAGCATGCATCGCAATATTGCGAACAAATTTACAATTTTCAATTAATGTGTTATTGATGCACCCATTGACTACGACTCCCCTTTCATTATTTTCGAATAAAGAATCTTTTAAAGTAAAACGATGGTAAGTATAATTTTTTACCCATCGACAAAAAAGACGATACGTTAGTGCTGCTTCCCATAAGGTTATAACACCCTGCATTGGATTATCGTGGTATTGATTCTTGATTATTAAACCTTCTCCATAGAAGGAGGAAGGTGACTTCATGGTGTCGTATCGTAATTTAATTTCGATAAAATTCATAATTGCCAACTTTGTTGGGTCATTATCGAACGTAAGATTTATAAAACGGATAATTGGTGGAGTGATCACTTCAATTTTTAATTTTGCGTGAATAAATGAAGAATCTTCGATATTAATTCTAAATTGGTCAGCAGATATCATATCAGAAGTTAGCTCACGATATACTTTCTGTATTATAGCTATATTTGTAGGGGTTATCAAGTCTTTTCTATCACTTTTTCTCACAGAACCTACAAATTTTGATCTTCTAATATTGACATCTCTTCCTGGAATTCCGCCGTCCCATTCTATATTTATTGAAGAGTCAATTAACTTACATTCGTCAATTGTAAAATTTAAGCTCATCGCTGAAATTGCTAAATTTTGAATAGTAACACGACTAAGCATCAGTATCCCAAAATCAGAGGTATCATTTTTTAATTCTTTAATAATCTTGATGGTGGCATTGGACTCTCGTGTGCAGCCAATTATGGATCTGACAACGCTTCGAATCCATAAATTGTTCACGTATAATACTTCGTCCTCGCATAACTCGAATGGACCACTGTCCATTAATTCAATCGTATCATTCTCCCCAAGTAGAACAAAAACCTGTTGTAGAGTTCTACAAGGTTTGGTGTATGTTCTACCGCAAGATAGATCTTTACCACCATCGTAATTAGTTCCGTCACTGGATAATTTCCAAACGAACGATTCTAAAATAGATAGGGAAAAGTTAATTTCAATCTAGTTTTCTGGAATTGCTTCAAACTTTCAAAAATGAGAAAATCATTTTTAAATAATAATGGAAATCAAATAAACAAATAATATCAATAACATTTCCGTATAAAATCAATATTATAAAATAAATATTTTATAAACAATTGAACAGAGACGGAAATAGAAAGAGAATCACTTGCGTAATCAATACGATGTGTTGATATTATGTGTTCATTCTCATTATTAATGTTTAAAATATAGCATACGGTATTTAATAATACGATATGGTGCAATTCAAAATGGAATTTCTATTTGGTTATATTCTTAACTGTTAGCTATCTACTTTACTGCTTAAATATTAAAAGTAAACTTGTTAAACTCCTAAAACAACTCCTGCGGAGGAGTGTGAATGCTCGTTAAGAAGGAGTGATATTTTAAGCCTTACAGTTGCTAATTAATTATTAACTAATTAAAAGAAGAGTACGATTTTAAAAAAATTTTAATTAGCTTCTATCATGTAATTTTAATAATCGTTAATAAATATAGCGACTAAAGAGTTCTATGAAGAGAACTTCTCGATAGAGATTCCCAACGCCAACTCATCAGAAAAATCATTCACGGCTTAATTACTGTAACCATAACACTGTGGCTTTTTCAATTATTTTATTAGACGTATTTGATTCAATTTTGTTCACAAATGTCTTCTATTATAAAATATATTGATAGATGGTATAGGGGTATCAATCTTATGTTAAACTAAAGCGATTATAATTAGAAGTTGGAAAGACAGGAGTAAATCTACAGAATAAACTTTTTACTAGATATTTGAACCAGAAGAGAGATAAAGAGATTATAAGAATATACAAGGTTGTAAGCGTAAATAAGTAGTAAGTCTCAGTGAGGAAGAAAGAAAAGGATGGACAGTGAAATAGAGGAGGAGAGTTAGGAAACAAAGATATTCCTAATAATAGCAAATATATGATTCTATTATGTTTAATATTAGCTTAACGTAGAAAATTAAGCAAAGTTATACTTTTTAGTGAACGTTTAAAGAAAATAAAGAGCTTTGGTGACATTTTATAGACAGCTAAATCTTTATAGAAGACAAGGGCTGCAATATGTCAAGCAATAGCAGCTATTACTATCAGAAGTCAGCGATGTTTTGTCAGTTTCAGTGGCAGGAGCAAATATGCTATTAAGCTACAAACGATTTTGTATATTATATATATATATATATAAATGTATATTAGCTAATACTGTATATATGTGTGCACGTAAAGGTATCAAATATCAAGTAAATACATATTATATACATTGATAGATTTATCCAAGTATAAACTATCAATTTAAAAAACAAACCTTAGGAAATCTGTATCGAGCTTCATTAATATAAGACTATATACCATGTGACAAGGAAGAAAATTTGTAGAAGTAAATAGAATTATTCTCATTTGCATAATTAAGTGTAAAGAACTAAATGTATATATTATCTAGTTTCGTCTCTATATATTTATAAATTTGGCTTTATACAAGTAATTAATTTTTAAGCAAAGTGAACGGCTTCTGGATTATTCAGATATCAGACGCAAATGAGAAAATTTTTCAGTGTTATATAATAAAGTACTATGCTATAAACATGCCTTTATTGACATTCTTTATTGAAGGATGCTTTACTAAAATGATTTAAGAGATTGACATTGTTAAAAGAAAGGAAAACTATAGTTGAATATTTTGTTAATTACCACAGGTTTTTTTTTATGAAAAGCTTATAATTTGTTGACTAACAGCAGATGTTTTTCGAGAGGATGTGTAATCGATGACCCATTTTTGATCAACATACACTCTCCCATCAGAGAAACCTAAGCATTTTAGCCCTAATACTGAAAGAGCCGTTCCACATTTTTAAATAAATCTGACATAGTTTAAAGATTTACAGATAATGTCAACAAATCCTATTTCACCCTATTCAGCCGTTTTTTATAAATCGATTTGGGACAGTATCTAGTGATAGTCATTTTCGCGGTTCGTTGCAGCTACTGCAACATTATATTCATAGTTTAGCTTCAGGCCCGGATGGCTCTAAACCGACAAAATGAATCTATTTTGGAGGTTAGTATCAAAATAAAGTGATAAAAGGTTTCCTTTCTCATCTATTATATTGTATAGCAGAGATATATTTAAACTAGAGCTATATTTAAATTGTTTTCCAATGTAGAAGAATATATAGTAAAATAAAACTACTATTGGCTGAAAATGTGTCACTTTTATAAAAAGATAAAGAGAATTTATTACATTCTTCTCGTCAAGAGCGAAATTATGAATGTTTGTCAGATTCGAGTGTCTTTCTATGATAAGACAAAAAGTATTTTTTACCTAAATTACTAATTATACATTATGTGATTGTAATATTACAGTATCTATGTAATATGCTCTCTGCTTTTAAGGTACATTTCTGGATTCTATCACTACTAGTTCCATAACTACAGCAGTTCCATTACAGTTAATTCATGGTCAATGGAAATTTCATCATAACGGCTAAGACTAATTGGGTCTCTAAAATTGTATTTTTGTTAAATGACGGTGGTGAATCGAACGTCTCATCAGGGAAATATTAATGGATGTATTGTTACATTTATATCTAATATCATTTGTTCCTCATGCTCATGAAAAAGTCATCGTATTTGTTTTTCTAGTTGGTCAGATGTAAAATTTTAAATTTCTTGACATTGTACGAAATAATTAACCATTAGTTTTCTACAATCGTTTCCAATGGTTCTCTTACAAATGATGCTAAATGAATCATATAACATATAACGTAAACGAAAAGCAGTATTGTATGAATACAATCAGAAATCTATTCTTTATCGCTAACTTAGCCTGAATAATGATAGATTCAAAGTTGCAAAGGCGTGCATGTAAAATATACCTTAGGGATTAAATAATGTTATGCATAGCACACGTGTTGTATGGAATTGACCTAAAAAAGGCTGATTTATCTGCCCTTAATCGAATCGTGACTCAACTGGATTTACAGGATTTTACTGTTGACAACTTCTAAATGACGTGCCAACTATTTTGATCTGGAAACGATTTAAACATAAGTTATATGTCTAACTTATTCATTTATTAGAAAAATATCTTTATTGTTTTCATTTTTTTTCATGATATTAAATGAAACTCTTTTTTGTTTTTATATATTCTATTTATATACGTACACGCATATATGACATATATATATATATATATATAGAGAGAGAGAGATAGGAAGAGAGAGAGAGGAGAGAAAGACATATAAAGACAGAGACACAGAGCCACATTTCAAATAAGTATCAGAATCACTAATCGATACCTTTTCTAACTCTTATTGAAGATAAAAGTGGTAAGAAGTATTTATTTAACATTTAAACCGATTAGAGCTCATAAGTCAAAACAATCGGATACTGAGTATGAATAGATATTCATTAAGTTTAACGGTTTAAAAGTTAACTAATGGATTACGGAAGTTTATAATCTTTTTCTCTTTATAGTAAAATACTTAAATAGAAAAGATATTGAATGAAATCGATTATACTATATATATAAAGACAGAGACATATATATATATAAATTTATAAATATATGAAAGGATTTGTAAAAGTTCATACATACATTTCATAAGAATTAATAAAACAGCATACGCTTTTTCTGCTTCTCTAATTGCAGTATTGTTAATTTAGTTAATTAAATAAATATTTAAATATTTTTACTATTATACTATATATATATTTAGATTCCCTAAATACAATAGAATGGACGTATAGATGATTATTTCTACAGTTTATCTAATAAAAAATATTTAAAGAATTTTTGGTTTACTCCCTTTGTATAAATTTCTTATTTGTAGTATAAAATAAAATTGAAGATAATTATAAAACATGAACTGTTTATCGACCGTTAGAATGGAAAATTGTAAGCTTCATTGAACGGATAGACTGAATGTCAACATCGAATAAGAAACAAAGTTTGATCCGGTTAATCTACATTCTTCTTTTTGCTCTGTCTATCTTTTTTTCTTTTACTATCGTATTCTCTTCTGTAAGTCTGTTTATGTATAGTAATGAATATGTATATATATACATATATATATATATGTATTATTTACAATAGAAATGTCCGAGTTGTAAACGTTCTCAGAGCTGAACGTTATTCTTTTCAAATAGTTATCATCTTTCGCAGAAGGTAGTAGAAAAGAATATAGAGTTATTGTGAGTTTTGCTTTTAGTACAAAACCATATAATATTTAATGTAGAGAAGTTAACTATTTTGCAAGGAAGGAAGGAATATGTTTTGATAATGAGTCAAAGAAAATCCATCTTCACGAAAGGTCCCTAAAAAAGACTAGAAACCACTTTAAACGTCTCTACTAGTCTATAAAATGTTAGCTTTCCGCCAGAATTTCTTCCTGTCACGGTATTTTTGAGGAAATGTCTATTTCTACTTTACTTTGTTATGCATGTATTTACATATATTCTTATTGTTATTTACTATTACTTAGAAAGAATAAGAGGAAATTAATGAGATTTAGAAATTAAGCAAAATCCTTTTAGTTTCCCAATGCAAATACTATATACAGTATATATATAAGAAAGATTTTAACAATAGACGGATATAGTGATAGTAGTAACGCTTCGTTTAACATTTCTTAATGTTCATTTTTTCATTTAGAAATATTCTCTATTTTCTATTACATTCCAATCACAGCTGAAAATCAATCAAGTGGCGTTCGCGAGAGAAACTCTTGCATAACTATTCTTTATAATCTCGTATATTAATACTATTCTCGCAAACTAGATTGATTGAGACGTTCAACAACTAAATTTATATTTTGTTTAACCTATCAGGTTAATAAAGATTATGGTATAAATTGTTTATTTTATATTACAACTTAAATTATGTAACGTTTAATTAGAGAAGGTAATTATAAAATCGAAAGTACTTAGAAAATCTGCTTTATATTCCTTAGGAACTAAAAATTGGCAGTGATGTCACTCAGATTGAAATTTAATAAAGGAAACTAGGAATTTCTGGGAAAGCTAGGAATAAGTAAAAAATTTGAATATCTAATTCTGGAACAGTTAACTCTGGTCAACTTTTATTACAATATAAATTCGTCAACTACTTAGAAAATCGGTTTTCTATAGATTAAATATAACGGAAAACGTAAAAAATCTCGAATTATAAACGCCCGTATACATTATATATAGACTAGCTGTATACCATATATAGATATATTAATATATATTGTGTTTTATATGTCTACACATATTTTATTCATAATTTATTGGAAACTAATAGATGCATTCGGAAGAATTGAGGAAAGCATAAAATGGAAAATCATCCAATATTAAGTTCACTATAAGGATTGTATGACTTAATTAAATCTATCTAGCTGTGTAACTGTGCGAAATACATTAAATGAATCATTAAACAGCTGAGAGATGGAACATCAAGAGTACAATCCCTACCATATAACTGATTCGGGAGGCAAAGGATATCAAGTTTAGAGGAGGGAAATATTAAAAGAAAATTTCTATTAGATAGTTCGGATAGAAAACACGTGATCAGCTTTATAAAACAATATTTCAAAGGCAAAATATAAAAGTGTTTGAGTTCTCTGTAGGCGGTTTGAAGCAAATATCGTTTGATTCTTGATAAATATATTACAAGCATCGAAGAATCAATTTCAACAAGATTAGATGTTGGTCTGTATTGGGAAATGGGTTCTTCTTTTGAATAGATTATTTCCCATTCGCATCTAATTTGTCAAGGATATGTCATTTTCATATAAAGCATATAAATAGTGCTAACACGGGCTATTATGATATTTTATATTATTTTTTTTATGGAAATGGAGACAAACTACAATTCTTATATTATCATATAGTATAGGGAGAAAGCGTTATGTTAAGTAGGTCAATTTTTCTGCTTCGTTATAAGTAGGTGAAAAATTCCCTCATACGGATGCTTAATAATTATTTAAAGAAGAGAAGGATAAAAAAATTCTTCATTAACCATTACTAAACTTGTTTCTTTTAGGAGAAAAAATTGAGAGGGGTAAGGATGGGATATATATATAAAAAAGAGTGCTTCAAGTATTGATATATGCTATATTAATATTTTAATGAAGAATTTACTGACTTGAATATTAATATGAAACAATATATACTGTATATATTTTAAGTATATTCCCTCTATATTGCATCTGATGAAAGTCTATAACAAAATCTATACTTATATCTCTTACAATTAATCGTAAATTATATAGAAATATCAGAGTTAAGTTCAATAAATTTAATTTTCTATGTTTTCTTTTATTACTGATAGAACACGCAAGAAAATATGGTATAAATGAATAAAGGATGCGATTTAACACTTGCATACATTTCAATAGAAATATGATATTTCTAGGATTCAGAGATCATAAAAAGACCAATAGTAAAGACTGAAAATTTATAATATTTTATCGCCTACTTTAACATGGTTTTTTTCTATAAATAATATAGAGGAATATGAATAAATAGTAGGAAAATGGAATAAAAAACGTATATAGTTTGTAGAATCGAAAAGGAGAAGAATGAAGGGGATGTAGACATTTAGAAATAATTTCCTTCCGACTTCAACACGTCTTTAATGATATACGTGTGGGTTAGTTGTGAAATTAATTAATTGTATTAATTAATTTTGTTTACGTAATGTAATGATATTTCCATATAGAATCAGAATAAATAGAATAGTTTTATAGTATATATAGCATATACTATACATGTACAATATTTGCTATTTAAAGTAAACCCCATCATATATTGATTCAAAATAAAGCTTAATTATATATCTATATACATTACTATTCAAATACATATATATATATATATATATATATATGTATAAATTTATATATATATATATATATGTATAAATTTATATATATATATATATATGTATAAATTTATATATATATATATATATTTATTCTCTACCTTTCTACCTCTATACCTGTAATCAATTCTTACTATCGTTTTGTTAATTTGCTTCTATAGGGCATTAACCTAATTTTTCATTTTTTATATACAGAGATAAAATAGGTAAAAAGAAATAGAAGACAAAAAAAAGGTTAAGGAAATAAGATATTATTGATATTAGTAAAATTTTGATTGTAGAGGTACTTTTTATCTAAGTATAAAGTTTATATGAAAATAAGAAGATGAAATTGTTTGCTTTAGTTCCCCCGTCTCTCTCTCTCTCTCTCTCTCTCGCTTTCATTCTTTGTCTTATCTTCTTTCCTGTACCGGGGTTAAGAATTCTCTCGCTCATTTTGCTCCCATCTCTGGTAAGCAAAATAGCTCTGTTTTTACAAATTGTGTGAATAAACTTGGGAATAAAAAATGTACTTAACCGAAAAAAACTTTACATCTTCTTAGTGCAAACATTTGGTACTGTATATTATATATTTATATATTTATAATACAAAAGAAACAAAGTTAAACTTTGTTTATTCTCGAAAGCTAAATATAAGCGGAAAGAATATAAAAATACAAAAGAAAAAGTTGGATTATGACATGGAAATTATTTCACGTATTTATCAAGAAAGAAGGACGATTAGTAGTACACTTTAAGTCAAAAGATAAACGCATTAACAAAGTAATTTTGACCATCACGCAAAAAATATTTGTTTTCTAGAAGCCGATATATTTCGATCTATATCTCTTTTCATTCTAGTATGGATAGTATGTTGACTATTTTACAGGGGGAAATTATTGTTAGCAAGATACGGAATAATTTGTTTTATTGTTGAAGAAATTTTCTACTAAGAATGACATGTTTTATTCTCTTATTTTAGTAAAATGAATACAAAAATTGACTTATTTACTTTTCTATTTTATCTATAAATTATTAAAAAATAACAAAAATAAAAACACAAGAGAAAGGTAATTTTTGATTTTCTTTTTTTTATGTAAAAACTGATTAATAGCTAAATAACTTGTGTCTATATTAAACCTATACTTAAAAAAAATTGCCTGCGAGGATTGAATTTACAACGATTAAACAAAAAAGACAAATAATATTGCTCACCAGTAAAACCAGCTAGTAAAAGCGTCACTATTAAGCAGTCTAGCATGCCTGCTCATCCTCTTCTGATTGTCCAGTGTTGTAAACGCCTTCTAGCGGCGGTTTGTTATACAACATGGAAAGTTCATTAAACAATGATTGTTCGTATGGACATTTTTATAACATAGAGATGTAAATAAATATAAAATGATAAGTGACACGTAAATATGTGTGTACAGTATATACACGTCTATATACTGTATATACTGCATAAAGATTATTTAAGGCTACTTCAGTATCAAATGAATATAAGGATGCCACGTGTTGTTTTTAATAATATACCTATTTTTGTAATGCACCGTATATAGGTATAAGCTAATTTGTAGCTTTGTTTTTTGTTTTAATAAATCATTCCATCTGATAAGCTATTTAATTCAAGTTTTTTTGAATTATTTCATAAAGACCATTATAGGAAGGCGTGTATAGTCATACGAGATAAAGACTCGTAAAATTCTATTTATATAAATACAAATAAAATATATAATCCAAGTTAAAATTGCTCAATTATAGATGAAATAAGTCAATGGCTTTATCTAAATTCTTAAGAGTAAGATTCTATAAACCATTTCATGGGAATAAACAAAGTACAATATCAATTCATAGAAGACAAAAATTAAAGAATTAAGAAGTAATTTAATAATTTAATTAATGATTTAAAAATAGTTAACTTTTCAAAAAACAATATTTTCTTATAACTTTTATTTATTTTTTTAAGAAACAAATAATAGTTAATTAATAAATTAATTATAAATTAAATGTATACATTCAACACTACGATTAAAAGGATAATCGAATGATTTAAGATGATTAATTAATTATATTTTTCTCTTCTATCAGAGATATACGAACGTTTTATACATAAATTCATACGTTATAGTTATAATTTTAGTTTAGTTTCGTACAATCATACAATTCGTTTCTATAAAACATTTAATATATATTGTTATTACGTATAAACAACTTACTTTTATAAAGTATATTATACATATTTCAATGTACACACATTCTATATTAATATAATAAATGAATCAACAATCTTTTAGACAATTATATTGTTTTCTTTTCTTCCTCAATAACACAACTTTATTGGTACTAATAGTTACTATTCATATAAATGAATCTATTCAGATATTTTTATCGCAAATTAGTAATTAATTAACTTACAGATTTGTTTTCTACGTTTTACCTTCAACAATATTGCTAGTAAGAATAATAATATAAAAACAAAACAGAACAGACATATTGAAGATTAAAGAAGCTAATTTCTAAATTTTCAAATCTATTTTATCTAATGTCAAGTAAATTTTTCTGTTAATGTGTCAGTTGTGTAATCATTCATCATTTTGAGGGTTTCTTACTTCCTATTCCCTTCAATTTTAACCTATTTAAGGAGCAGAATAATAGGATAGAACTATGCATTATGAAAAAGGCTGGTGCATAGCTCGGAAGGGTATAGAAGATTAATATGAAAATAGTAAAAAGAAAAGAAAGTAGTTGGGATTAAAGAGAAGGTATTTTTTTTTTATGTTTTTGCTTAAGCAAATTAATCTTTCTTAAGTTGAAACAAAGAGAATACAGCAACTCTTGACGCTTGCAAGTAAAAGGGAAAAAAACAACTTTTTAGATCAATTTATACTTATTATTTATCATTACTAAAATTGTTGATATTAAATAAAGAGTGGACATTCTTTTTGTTTATTTTCCTTCAATCTCCATTTCTATAGGAAAAAATGAAAGAGATAGAAGAATTATTCAAAGTCATCAATATGCAGATAAAAAGAAATCGATAAAATATTAATTATGAATATTAATGACTACTTGGAATAAGTAGGCAATAAATCATTTATTAAATTAAAAAAGAAACATAAGGGAGATGACTATCAATTAAACTCTACAGTTAAACAATTATATTGAGCAAAAACTATTTCACGATAGTAGATTGTTGTATTAACGTCATCGGCCAATTGATCTGCAATGGATAAATTCTCTTTAGCACTTTACATATTAGACGCGTCGAATTGATCTAGCAGAGCGGTTTCTCTCATTTTATGTTTATTAACGCCTTCTCTTACTCTAGTATTCACTTTTATTACCACTTTTAAAAATATTTTTTAAAGCCTCGGGGTATTGACGAAGAATCCTTGTTCTAATTATAAACTTTTCAGAGTTTAGTTAATAAATTCTTGAAATTTTAAGAGTCGTTGTTTAAAGTATTTAAATAACCTTTCTTCTTAGAACAAATAACTAAATATTTTATAAGAAATCAAACTGTTTTATAAATATGTGTGCAAAAAAATGGTTTTCTTTCAATGTCTAAAAGCTTCGAAAGATGTTTACCTAACATAATAGAAAACAGAAGTTAAAACATAAAAAGAAAATAGCAATAGTCTTGACTGAATTAACCGAATCTAAAAGCATAGAATATTCAAAGAATTCGATAAGAACCACTTTTTTTTTTCAATTCAAATGAATTTCGTCATTAATAATGGCTGTTAGCTTTGATAATGGTTTTAGGGGTTATAAATCATTATAATTATCAAGAATCTAATTAACATGATCAGACACGATAATTCTCTTTCGTACAGCGTTTCTTTATGATGATAATAATAATAATAATATTTTACTTAATCATGAAAACCCAGTCTTATTTTTTTTAAAAATATAAATATTAATTGAAAAAATTAAGCATCTTAAGTCAACCATATTGTTTATCTAAAGTATAATATGCGTATAATTTTCCTTATACTAGACTTTTAATGAATTCAATGATTTTAAATTCTCTAGATATATTGTTCTTTTTACACTCATAAGAGAGCTTTATATCACTCCAAGTGGCTAATTTCATTTTGAGAAATATGCAAATTTCAAATAATTGATTGTCCTAAATGAAGATCTGTTAGATCGTTTCTCTGATGCTTTTTGTAATTTGTACACTTTATAACATCAAATATTTCGTAAAAACAAAAAACAAATATAAATAAAATAGAAATCGTGTTATTATTAAGGAAAATGAAAAAAGAATGGAAATTTCCTATAAATCATTTGGCAACTGACAATAGGTATAAATAAAATTTAATCCTACGAGTGATTTGCGGCTATCATAATTTACTCGAAAGGTTTTTATAAACATTAGGTTATTGATATATTAATGAAATATTTTGTATCGGGGACCTGAGAGAGAATTGTTGCAAAGTATTCAAAAAAACAAGCTTGTCTCCACTGATTAGTGTTGGGAAGACAACATTGTATTGCATTAACCCTATGTCAAGCAAGCTTTTTTTATTTATTTTCATTTTGTTGTCTTAATAAAGAAGCTGGAAGAGAAACAAAATAATGAAATTCAACTTAATATTAATTTTTACGCTTTACTAACCTTTTTCAAATTACCTTAAAACACAGTTTAGTAATATTAAATATCTAAAAATAAACTTTCAAATATCTTTTAACGTATACTTTTCATTATTGTACAAGTATTGGAAGAGAACTTGTAATATATCCCTAAGCTTCTTTCTGTATCTATATCTTTTCTTTTATTCCTTTAATTGATATAGTTTTTAACATTTCTTATTTGTTATGTTAGATATGGACTTTGATAATAGACGCGTCTAAATCGTGTTGTTCGTCAATTTAATGAAACAAAACTCCCTTTCTTCATATTACAAGACAATTGTATAGTTTGTAAATAATGTTCTTCACTAATAAATTCATATTCATCATAATTTTCTTGCTAAGATCACATTTGTTTTTTAAACTGGAAAATATTTTCCAACCTTTTTAATTTTTTAAATAAATCTTTTTCTAGTCGAGAGAGAGAGGTAGATTATTAATAGAACTCGTTCCTATCCATAAGATACTTTGAGAAGAATGATGCTATTACACAACGTTCATTAAAAGTCAAGCGTCTAATGAATTTGAGGCAGTATGAAGCTTCAACTGAGTCAGTAAAAAGAACATAAGCCTGTGAATGAAAAAAAAAAATTAATTCGAAACGTGCTGATGCATAGTCACATTTGCTTTTCCGTCTCCGCTTCTCGGTACAATACATTTTCCGACTTTACCAAATTCTTCACATTTCTCTTTCAGATTCTTGATTAGATCTATAATAGATGGAAAAAAATAGAAATTTAGATTGTCTATATGAAAAATTACTATTCAAATCCCTGACTAAAACTAGTTAAGCGAGAAGAAACAAAAAAAAAACACTTTTCTTCATTCAAACCAGGAATGTTTATAAAAATTACAAATAAACATTCTCTTTTATTTATGACTATCATTTATTATAGTTTATAAATATAGATAATGAGTTACTGAAAACAAATCAAGATATATTTATGCACTTATCCATTCAAGCTGTAAATGCTTATATATATTAGTAAATATATTTACGTTAAGTTATACATCTGATTCATTAGTTGTATAACGTCTATTTGCTGAATACAGTCTATATATGCATCAGTTAGAGTATAATTTACTGCATACAATATCTAAACACTTGACCTTTTCAATCAATAAAATTTTTACATTTTTTAATTTGCAAAGTAAAATAGATTGAGTTCACTGGAATTAAAGTGTTTAGGATTATCTTTTTCCAAAGATATACTAGTAAAATTAGTAGTAGTATATTTGAATAATATATAATAACAAAGAGAAGGTTACGTAAAAGTTGTTCTAAGATTTTCTCTTGCAAAATAAATTACTGCTCATTATTAACATCTACTATAGCTTTACGACTCTAAGTAAGGTCAAGGACCTTTTATTCAGTGAAAAGCAGAGAGCTTTCTAAAAGTATCCAAACCTCTGTAAAAGAAAATGTTGTAACAGCTTTTACTGGTATAATTTTACTAGAAAGTAAGGAGCAAAATCAGTAAAATGAATGTGGTGCATTAATTATAATAGTAGAAGATTATATACAATTTTAAAGACTATTATTATATTTTTCATTAGAAAATCAATAATAATCCGAGCTTTATCTTAGTAGTCAGTAATTTATCTTTTTAAAAAGACACTCCTTGCACAAATTGAAGAGAA